AATTCAATCCGAGCGGGAACTCCGATTAAATCACTTCGAATAAGCCATAGAAGGAGGGATCAAATTTCGATGAAAAATATTTTGTAATAAGATCTGTGTTATTCGATTCAGCTTTTTATGCTGGTTTTAAATATCACACAAATTTTATTTGAAAGCAAAATTTTGATGATCACAATGTCCAAACATGAGCTCATTCCTAATCATCGTACTACTGATATAATAAACATGATTTTTCAAGCAATGCATCATTATTATTTTAAACAGGCATGCACCTTTTTTTCATTGGTGTACTAACTGTAACCCACTAAAAGAAAGTTTTTCATCATTTATGCAAAAGTACTTGATAAATTGGCAATGCACACAGAAGGCATTTTATCAGGGTTCTACCCATATTTCGAGGGAAGACCGTTCATTTTAGACCACAAGAACGGATAATCTAGTGTATTATATACAGTTTTACATGCAGAATTACAAAAGATTACTTTTGGAATTCGACACATCAATAAACACGAGAATTCAGCGTTATATTTAAAACTTCATTCATTTGGCATGCTTTTGGAGAACTCATTATTTTGAATTTTGTTCAGCGAAAACCAACTTTCAAATCTCTAACATGGTACTTTTCCTATGTAACTCGTTGAGCTCTTTACACATAAAACAAAAAAAGATATTTTTCTGCTTAAATTTTGAACTTCCTCCAACTTACCTATACCATTATGACTATATCCTTATATCTATACCAATATACTTATATTCTTGTACCTCTACTTGTATGTCTATATCCTTACACCTATATCCTTATACACATACCCCTATGACTAAGCCATTAAGAATGTATCCCTACACCTGTAACTTGATACTTATTCTCTTACAATCAAATCTCTGAAGTATTAAAAAGCTTTTGAGCTCAAAATCGGTGCACCCTACGTCACATATACAGCAGAAAAAGCTTAAAAGAATATGAGTACAAGTTACACTACGGCTGAGATATCGACAGTGTAGTATAACTGCGGGTATGGGTGTTGTTGAAAACAATAGTACATCCACCCACCCACACCCACACTCACCCTCAAGATGGCAATCATGTCGCATTGACTTAAACTTGAATTTGAATATTAGGAATATTTATGGTGTGGTTGGCGCTGTCGCTGTAAGTATGTACCTGAGTTAGTTGATCTTATTCTACCTCACACCTACACCCCATATCCACACTGTGGGAAGACCTCAGGTATAATTTACACAAGTGAGATAGTCGACCCTGTAATCCCGTTAACATATTTGAATACGTTACTCTTCCAATCATTGCCAGATCACAAGCTCATTCCGTTTCATACCACTCAATGTTCAATACACCGAAAACTTATTGTTTCCTTAAAAAACCTTACCCTGATTGTAAAATTATAGTGGCAAACTTCCATCAATATAGTAAAGAGTTGGATGCCCGGACACCCATTCAGGCTCCCTAACTTTTCTAAAATATAGTTATCTCGAAAAACTCTTTCTTTCACTGAAAAAGTCAAACTCAAAATTTTGAAAAACTGACTTCAGATTCCAATTCCCCCGAACTCCACTTACTTTTCGTCAACCTTTTTAACATATAAACTCCGATCTCAGATTAGAAATCCTGCCCATCGATAAACTATAGTACAGTTTCATCAAGTGGCGAAAGACTTAACATGACAATGGTGACTTCTGACTGTTTGCCTTCCTAGACAATGGAAAGGTCGTATATCAAATCGGATCGCAGATTAGGAATTCTGACCATCGATAACCCATAGTAAAGTTTCATCAAAAGCCTAAAAAAGCTTAAAATCAAAAAGCGCGTTTCTGTTTAGTCGGCTTTCTATCCAATGGGAAGGTCGCATATAAAACCCGGCCTCAGATTAGGAATCCTGACCATCAATAACCTATAGTAAAGTTTCATCAAAACGCCTCTTAATTAACCTTAATTACACTTCAATACCCCGAATTACGGTTCATGATTCTTCGTTCTCTATCTTTGACGTATGACCTTTGACCTGTGTTACAAAGGCAGTCACAAACTTATTGTTTTTCATATGATCCCCCCTACAATCGAAGGAACTATAAGTAGCTTTAACTAATCTTAATTAGCCTTAACTAGACGTAATTAACTATAATTAGTCTTAGCTAACTTTAATTAACTTTAACTAACTTTAACTAACCCTAATTAGCGTTAACTAACTTGAACTAGACTTAATGAAAGCTCGGCCAAAGAAAAACGACCTCGGATTCGGATTCTGGGCCTTCAATAACTTATAGCAAAGTTCCATCAAAACGTCGGAAAGTCATAAAAGAAGCTGACCTCTCACATATGTTTTTTTGACCTTTGTTACAAGGGCAGCCACAAATTTTTTTTTTCATATCACCCTCCCTACAGTCGAGGGAATTACTATAACTTTTGAAAAAAATTATTTTCTACATTTTGCTTTTCAACATTTTGTCCCTGAATCGTTTTATGTAGTGTATATCAATTTCAAAACGTTGAAATATCTATTGATTATGCTTAACAGATAGCGTAATTATAAGAAAAAAAATGTAAGTATGCTTAATCTTAATGCCTTTTGTTTTTTTTATGCTGCTCCTCCCCTCCCCCCCCCCCTCCACTAGAAATTTCTCTTTGTCTTTTTATTATTTTCGCCAAATAAATTACTGAGTTAACAAGGAATAAATACTACAGGAAAATTGTCCTGTTGCTTTTTGTTGTGTAATACTATTAGTTTTTCTTTACTTCCTTGCACATAAATATATGACACTTAAAACAACGAGAAAAAACAATCACATGACGTTGAATTGACGTTGTTTTCTTTTTACGTTCTCTATCTAGTCCACTACATTTATTATAATAAAACCTAGAAAAATATGAGATGATCACGTATGTTTCACATTTTCATTCTGTATTATATCGTAAAGATGAGGAATATCGATCGAATTTGACATGAAAATTTTAATTATTAGCGGTTATGAAACACTTGGTCATAGACTATTATACGTACTTGCCAAACAATCACAACTTACATTACTCATTGCATGTAGATCAAGTAAACATGTTCAAACATTTTTGTAAAGAATTGAATAGTAATCTAGCAACAGTATTACCGTTATATTTTGGTCGAAATTATTTCAAAATCAAAACTCGACGATAATTCGATCTAGTCGTTCATGTGACTGATCCATTTGAATCCAACGGCAAAGAGCCATATCGTAGTGCGAGAGTATGTTTGGCAAAACCAATTAATTATCTTGATTCAGCTGATGAATCACAACTCGTCTAAGACATTGTTTAATGCAATACTGAGGCTAGGAGCAAAAAATATATATGTGCTTTCTGATGTTAGCAGTTGTCCTGTATTAACAATAGTAGTCGTTAGATGTTTGACAGAAGGAGTGACTAATATGCATTCAATTAAAGGTAATATCGCACCTCAACATATGCTGACGTAGATCCAAATGTTATGAGGCTCATATATTTGAAAACATTTTACAGATCTTATCCTAAGTTTATATTTTATTAGCGAAAACTCTTTGAACAAGAGTTGTCTCGTTTTTTTCTGAAGAGTACATTTAATCAAACGTTAGATAGCCCATGTGTACGACTTTATTTTTTTGGAACATCTTGGTCTATTACTACTAATGATTCGTTGATAGCGAATGATAGTCAACCCATTCAACTCTCCTATGGCGCCGGTATGTCTGTGTCCATCATAAAAGTCTTTCTCCGTTTCACTTTTGTAAAAGATTTTGAAATAATAAACGTATAGTAATATTTTGACAGACAAAATTTTGCGAAACTGTCAAATTATATCTTTTTTTTCAAAAAAAATCCAAAACAGCTGTAGTTACTAATAATCATACAGTTAGTTCAAACATATCGTCATATTGATTTAACTGATGATATTAATATTTCTTGTTTACAACATGAACCGAAGATATTAGCTGATTATTTTTCTATTATTAACTTAGAAAATAATTGTGGTATAAAGAAAATTTCAAAAATTCAAATTATCTGCGATATATTCAATGTACAAACTATTGGAAAAACTATGTTCTGTGAATTTGGTACACCAATACATTTATATTTAACTGCTCCTGTAACAACAACAAAAGCTGAAAAATCTTTTAGTGTATGAATCGAATAAATACATATCTACGATCAAGTATGGCACAACAATGTTTCAATCATGTCATTATTCCTCATATTCATATAGAAAAATTCGATAAACTAACCTTGAACAATATCGACTCTGAATTTATTTTAAAAAAACTCAGATTAGAAAAGTTTTTTTGTGATCATGAATAATATTTTTTTGCACTGCTTATTCTATTCTCTTTGCATTAGGTTTAATATTTTTGTGTACGCCCTAATCATATACTAGAAAAGTTAATATTGCAGTAAAATTTTTTATTATTTTCCAATTTTTGAAATGAATGATTGTAGAAATATATTTTCATTAGAGTGAGTATTATAAAACTAAAAATTCGTCCGTTTTTTTATCTCGCCTTCCATCATCGTCTGGAAAAGAATTTTGAGTCTTTTCTAGATTAAAATTGTTCCACCACCTATACTCATATCCTAAATATTCTCTATCACTTCTTTCGCTATAATGTGTTTAGTGACCAAAAGATAATTTTCCTAATCAATCTGCTAGACAACACTCACTAATCTGAATATAACACATGTAACTGATTTATTCATCTGATAAGCTTTGTAAATTTTCATTTACGCGATGACATAAGATCAAATATAGTTTGAAAGCTAATTCAAGAATGGATTCATTTAAAATAGTTATTTGATTATGGATAAAGATGATTTATTGATTAAATATATTTTTTGTAAATGAACGCATATATATTAATTATATTAGTATACAAAAGAAAAAGGACAGCAAATAAAAAAGGGTAAATAGACGAGTGACGATAAAATAAAAAGAACACTGTGACAATAATAGGAACAATATAAGAGATATTTTCTTGAAAAATTGTTAATTTGATTCCTTTGATGGGATTGGTATTTGAAGTACATCAACAAATAATTGTTTGAAGTTTTCAAGACGAAATGTTAAATTTTCGAATTTATACTTCAATTCTTGATTATGACTTTTTAAATTGGAATATCGAGTCATTAATTCAGATCGTTCTGCTTGTTTCTTTTTACGATATTTTTCAGCTGCTGTTTTATTTTGACCTTTCTTTTTTAATTTACGTTCCATTGCTGATAAACTTGTTTTCTTTGTTGATTTTTTTCTTGCTATTCCAGGAGATAAACTGTCTGATGACATTGATGGTGATGATGGTACAGTCATATCATCTGTTTTTTCAGATTCAACTGTACATTCTTCACCAATCCATGGAAATATTGAATCATCAGATATTGATGAATTAAGAACATCTATTTGAGAACATGGAATCGATGATTGACTAGTATATTTATCAAATTCTAAAAGATCCATTTGTAATTCTAAGTAAAAATAAATTTAATTATAAGAATATTATAAATTTCCTTTTTTACCTGTTTTATCGAGTTCACTTAAAACAGGAAATTCAAATGTTGAAAATAAGTCATATTGTTGATGTTCATTATTATCATTATTTTCATTTATATTGTCTTTCGATAGTAATTCATATTCATTTTTCTTCGATGAAACTGAAGAAAAACAAACATCATTATCATCAAATGAAAATAAATCATTTGATGTTAAGATGGGATTGATACTATTGACGCCACCACCATCGTTGATGGTTGGTGTCAAAAGTTCGCCAGGTTGAGGATATTCGAAATGCATTTTGTTCGTGTATATGTGAAACCGATAATGCGGAAATAGTAGTGGCAAACGCCATTTTGATTTGCATGATTAGAGCTAAACAAGAAAAAGAACCATTGATTATATTGTTTAAGATTAAAATAAGATCAACTGTTTGATCTTTATAGAAAATTATTCGATAGGATAATGAACCAAGCTTTTGATGGTGTTTGTTGACCTATATTTTATCAGGAATTTCTCTTTGGGAAAGATGAATATACATTTTGAAAGAAGGCAGGGACGAGGAAGGGTCAAGCTCGATCCCTGGAGTAGTATCATTCCGTTACTGCTGCATAAAAACTCAATGATGACCATGGACAAAGCTCTTTAATATCATTCTATAGTATAACTGTTGCATATAGATGATTGGATATGTTCTTACTATAAGTGTGTTATGACATCAGACAAGATATCTTATTGCAGATACATTCTATTTATGATAGAGTTGACTTAAGTATTCTAAAGAACAATTGTTTTAACTTACTTTTAAAAAAAGGCACGGTAAAGTTCGTGCTTGCTTAGCCGTAGCTGAGGCGCCTAAAAAGGTCGCTGCTGTTTCAAATAGTCATTATTCTTGAATACATCAAATGAATCAAATGATGATGAAATATATTTGAAACGCCATAAGGTTTTTGTAATGACTACAGACAAGTATGATGCAATGTGTGTCATTGTCACATGACGCATGGAATGAGAAAGATATGTTTTTATGTATAAAATTTTGAAAAAATGGATTATTTGAAATTTATAATAATTCAGAAGGATATTAAAAAAATAAAATTCTTCGAAAAAGGAAGTAAACCTAGCATAGATGTCGCTACTTTACAAAAAAAATATTTTAGACAAAATATTGTTCTATTTTTTGACAATATTCTAAAGGAAATTTTGTTGATAATTTTTTATCTATTAGATTGAAAGAAAATAATGTTTGAATAAAACACAAAGTTATGTTTGCGCTCAAACTAATTTCTCTAAAGAACTTCTGACAAGTTTTTATTCTTGATAATTAAGTTTGTATTGATCGTCTAGAAAAAAACAACGATGATCGAGACAGTTTATAACAATATGACAGATAAAAAAACACATCTATTGAATATATTGGAAACAAACATCGATATTTCACTTGTACGAAATTATTTTTCAACGTTGATTAATAATGGCTTTTTTGTTTTGAATTTTCTAGCTTGATTATGTTCAAAAATTAATTATATTGCCAGAATTAACAGATGAAATGTGGACAAATGATCTATTAACTATTCTAGAAAATTATCTTTCATCGAATCAACAACGTGTTCTTATTGCTTATGTCGATCGGCATACTTCATCTTTACAACTTCTTCATTCGATCCCATTTACTGCTAATTCAATTAACATAATTTATAATTTATGTTATTTTATTCGTAAAAGTGATTCATCAGAATGTATTATATCAATTGATGAATTTCTTAAACAGATTCAATTTGGATGTATTAATGGAAAATCAATTCCATGTTTAACAGCACTTGTATCAACACTATTTGGACCCTTATTTATGGATGATACAACAGTACAGGATAGTACGTAATAAATTTTCAATATATTATCTAAATTTACTTTAGAATTTTGTAGTGATTAAAAATGATTTTGCTAGTGAACTTAATCAATTTTTAGCAACATTCTATGAAATACAATATAAAAACATGTTATCTATGACATATTTATTTATTCCAAAAGATGGTGTTGATAAAACAATTGAAGAACTTATTAAAGATAAAGCACTTGTTACAAGATTTGAAAGTAGATATACATATGAAATGGTTTTTATTCATTGAGAATTAGTAAATTTTTTCGATTTCAAACGATCATATGAAATCGCAATAATAGCTCAAAAATGATACTATTCATTTGGAAAAATAAAAAGCTATGTTCTAGTTAAAGAAATAAAGAAGAAGACCTGGTGAGAAAACTGCTACACAAGTAACATCCACCGCTTAAGCTTCTATTGAACCTACAAGCAGGTCTCAATAAAACTAACAAAAGCCGAAAATGGCTCAGCTCCGTTGGTTTTTAAAGTCAAGTTATGGTTGGTGAATTGGACTTTCGACCCGTTTTTAGATACTTCTCGAAAAACAAAATAACAGGGTTTTGATTCAAAGTTTTGCCTGTAGACCTTTATATTGACTTGTAGGCTATTCTGAAAGTTTCGACCGAAAAGGATGTTCCTTCGTGGAATTATTGAATTTTCGAAGGGACTCGTTTGTTTATGACATGCGTGTGGCAGAGTGCTATTTTTTTTGAAAATTCAATATCTTAATAAAGGAACATTCTTTTTGACTGAAACTTTAAGAATATTCTAAGAGTCACAATATCTATCTAGAGGCAGAATTTTATATTAAAGCTCCATGATTTGATTTTTCGAGAACTACCTATAAATGAGTCGAAAATTAGGTAAATAGGTCATAGCTCAGTGTCAAAGGCCCATGAAGACGAACCCTTTTAGACTTTTGCTAGTTTTACTGAGACCTTCTTCTGGACTCAATATGAGTTTAAATAGTAGATACCAGTTGGGATAGATATTTCATGAAGGAAATATTGTATTCTAGCTATTTTCAAAAATAAAGTTTCAACTAATTTTATTTCTAGACTCATATATCATTCGATTGTTCTATGATACAAAAAAGAAAATCTTGAGATCTTAAAATTTTTAAATATATTTTTCTAGGTATTATGCTCAAATGGCATCATCAATTGAAAGAAGTACTTCTCATTCAAGATCGTTTAATGAGTATAAATGAGCAATCAATTGGTATTCATGAAGAAATAAATTTTTGGCAAGAATGTCTTACAGATCTTCATTATATTCGTAAACAATTACAAAGAACTGAATTACAAAATATAATTCAAGTATTAATCTTGTCCAAATCTGCTTATATACAACAATTTTTACAAGCTGAAAATGAAGTTCAAGTAAAAGAATGATTTTTTTTAATATTATAATATTTCGATTCTAAATAAACCTAGGAATTTATCGAATATGTAGAAGATTGTTTAAAATTTTTAAAAATTTTGGCTGAACCTTCTTTTCAACTCAATGATATATCACTAGAAAAATTAAAATCAGTTATTATCGATATTTTCTATAGAATTTTAATTACATGGCATCATTCAAAATTCTTTGCAACTTCTGAAAGGATTAAATTAGTTATTAGCAAGGTATGTTTTCATTTACAATTAACTAAAGGGGATTTTTGTTTCATTCATTTGAACTTTGAATACATTCAACGATAAAATCGAAGACTTAACAAATGAAGAATATTGGCTTATTGTAGAAGAGCATGTAGATTAGTCATAACCTGCATCCGAGCATTTGCAAGCAAAACGAAACATGACTATTTTTTAATTGACATTGATTTTTTACCAGACTAATTTTTCTGAATAAGCTCTTTTACCATGAATAGATAGGTGAGTGACAGCTTCTAGTTCTTGTTACATGAACTAGGTAATTAAGCACTTGATTTTCTCTTAGGTCTCAGTTTCCGACTGCTCTATTTCGGGATACTTGTGCAATTTGGTTACATCACTGCGGCAAGGATAAAAATGAGACATTCAAGTCATATAAAAAGAACTAGATGATCATAACCAGTTCCGTTCCTTAATCAGGACATGTTACATATCTATGAATATATGTAAAAATGTTGGTTCTTGGAGTTCACATCAAATTAAAACTGATTAGTTAACTAGTGAAAACTTGATTAGCAAACAAATTTTCTAGCTGTATGATTGAAAAATCCAAGAATAAACTCCGCACTAAAAACGGCATCTCTTGTGAAGTTTTCAGCACGATCTAACTCCAAAAAATCCGCTTGTTAAGAACCGGTTTTCTAGAGACGCTCTCATATATCGAAACAAAGAGCTTGGTTTTATCATAAACTTAAAATTTCCGAAAAGTGATAAGCTTATTTTTTTCTTTTTATATACGTACTCGATTACGTCATTAGTTTGAATTTGTAATACGTTTATACAGAATCCCATGCAACGAAACTTCTCTTGTGTTTTGTACAACATTGTTAACGCTTGTGTTTTTAAGAGTAATTCATCCGAACAAATGTGTCTAGGATTAAGTTTCTCAGAGTATGTAGAGTACCCAATTACATATGTGATACTTAGAAACCAGCTCTAAATCAAGAGATTTACGCATTTTTATTCTGTGCAGTCACGTCGCTATCAAATGAAATTGCTCACATACAGTCTTTCAGAAAGCTGATTTCGTAGTATGGAGATTTTCTTTTGATTTGTGTATTTATGCATATTTACATACCTTCTGACTGGCGACATATAAGTGATACTATTTTGAACTCTTGCAATTAGATTGGCAGCTACTACTCTTCTTGATTCATCTATTATAGATTTGGATGAGTATTTTAAAAGTATTATAATATTAGTTTATTATGAGATTAAAGAAAAAACACCTATTTTTATAATTAACGTTGTCTGAGACATTATACTTAGACTATTGAATGTGATCAGTCTTTATAGATAAACAATCAAATCATTGGTCGATGTTCTCGCTCAATTAGTATAAAACGTCTTTTTCAAGGCTATGTTCTTTCAACACAAAATATTCTTCAAGAATGTTTTCAAATTATTGATCTTTATATGGAAACATGTTTACATGTAATTCTTTATTCAATGTTTCGTTGTTCTTTTTTTTCTAATTTCTTTTGTTCTCTTATTTTCATATATCATAGATCTTAACATTGCATGACAAATATTCGAATAAACCATTAATGACAAATAATTTTCAAAAAGATGTTCTTTTTTATTCGATTCAATTATTTCGACAACGTTTGAATGAAATCGATGAAGTATTTTATTTTTTTGTGAATTTAAGAAACATATAAACATAAAATATTTTTAGATATGTGAATGTATGAAACTTTTTGGATGGTATCGAGATAATAAAAAAGAAAGTTTACCACTTTTTGGTGGTATTCAAGGTGATGAATATCAACATACACTCGAAAAAAGTCAACAAGCATTTGATCGAGCATTACTTTTATTAAAACATTATTCGAAATATATGCTTGATATTTCTTCTCATGCTCATTCCATATGGTCTCAAGAGTTGAAACGGTAAATTTATATAAAATAATTTGATTTACATACAACTAATTAAGTATAGAAAAGATGGAGAATCTAGTCATTTCAGAAACACAGCTAAAATCTAAAGAATCATGATAATCGATAATAGTACACTAAAAATTAGTAAAAGACCCATTTCATTGCTATACTCATTATTGAAATGTGCAAAGCTAATACAAGTACTATTGATAATTAGAATTAGAATGAGAGTATTTGTAATTGGACTTTTAGAAAAGTATTTTGTATTTTTATTTGACATATAAAATAATGTCTTGTTGTGTATTAAAAGTATCTTTTTGTTTTATTGAAACTTTACCAATCACCTGGAGACGTCCTACGGTCACCAAGATAGAGGAAGATCGATTATAATATTTTTGCTAAAGTTGAGCAAGTTTTGGAGGTGAAGTACTTTTTCGAGAATTGATGAGCGAAAAAAATAATAAAACATTGGCAACTCCATTGAAGACAACGAATATTTTCCAAAATTGGGGAAGGGTCACTCTCTCGCTCGAAATCACCGTGGCAATTACTCATAATGTTAAAGCGATTATTAAAAATTCCAGCTCCTAACAATATTCTAATCGTAAACCGATACATATGTCTCTTGCCAAAATCTATGGTTGTGTCTAATATACGTTCAATCTTAAGCTATTTCAGCTCCTTAGTTTTTAGTCTTTTCTCAAAACAAGGCTGTATTATCAGATACGTGTTCGAAAGCATACAAATTTTACCATGGTAGCCAACGTTTGTAAATAAATTTGATTTATATCTGAAGTAAAACTAATAAGTCCTTTTTTGTACATCAGTAAAGGGACAACTTAAAGTACAAGTATAATACTTCTATTGGTAACGATTGTACTCGTCCTATCTCTATTGGTAACATTGGTTCCTTTTGTCAGTACATATTCTCTTTCTATATCTTGAGTTGACATGTAATTATTATGTACTTTTGTTAGAGAATAAGCGAATACGAAATACAAGAAGTAAAAAAAAATGTCTAGCTGCAGATAACTAGTCATGGAAAAGAATAGCAGATAAAACATGTTACTCAAGAAGATTGACTTCTTTAATTTATTACGAAACATGATGGAGTTGAAGATTTTTCAATCTGAAAACTATACAAATTCAGCTTTCCGTGTTTATGAGGATATTTAAAATATTTATTTTAGATTTTTGGAATCTGTTCATGAAATTGAATTAGTTATTGTTAAATTAATCAATGAAGCCATGATAAAAGCAGTAACTATAGAACAAATAATTGATATTCTAGAAATATTTGTTAATTTTCAATCACGAACTGTATGATTTTTATTCGTATAATCATTAATTTAATTTTTTCTTAATTATTAGACTATCAATCATATTCTTATTGATAAAACTCGTGATGTTTATCGTCTATTTCTATCTCAAATTGATGATATTCGTACCCAAATAGCTTCTTATCAAACATTAGATGATATAAAAAATGTTAAAAATTTTTTCGATCTATTCCTTCCACATTATTCAGCTAAAGCTATGTGGGTTCATAATTTAATTGAACGTATTAGAAAAAATTATCATCTTCTTAATGAATCATCAAATTTACCATATGTCGTACAAAAAAATGAAATAAAATTAGCTTATGAAAAATTATTAATATTTGCTGATAATATACAAAAACGTATCTATCAAGAATGGTGGACAATATCAAGTGAATTACAACCAAAAAAATTATTATTACAACCATTTTTAAAAGAAAATAATGAAAAAAAATATTTAATTATTGTTTATTTTGATCCACAAATAATTATTGCATTAAATGAAAGTTTATGGTGGATTAGATTAAATTATGAAATACCTTATTCATTAACTGATGTTTATAATACAAGAAAATCATTTCGACAAATGAGAGAAGAAACAAATGGATTTATTCGAAAATTTAATAAGTAAAAATGAAAAGAAAAAAAAAAGAAAAAAAATTGTAACGGTCTGTTTTAGAGTAATTGATTCTCTTTATGATCAAGAATTATATTTATTTGAAGAACGTATTCGAATGATTTTAAAAAAATTACAACCTGGTTTTCTTGGTAAAGTAAATTATATTGATGAAAATACATTTCATGATTTTGCTCTTGAAGCAAATCGTATTATTGATCAGGTTAAATTCAAATAATTATTTAAATATAAATATTTCATTTTATTCATTAGTTAATTGATATGGTTACATCATTCAAAGAAAATTATGCTAAATGTTGTGCTAAATGTGTTCATATTAGTCAACAATTATTTATTAAAATTGATTCTGATATTATTTTTAATTATACGACATTTACTGAATTACTTGTAAGTTTTACTTTTGAATAAATATTAATTTCTTTTTTTTTCTTATTAAATCTAGAAATCGGTTAATCGTGTAAGTCAATATCTTATTCATGAAATGTATGAAGAAATTGCAGTTGAAATTCATACCCAACAGATGATATTCAAAGATGATCCGGATAAAGTAATGTATTTTGTATTAAGAATGTCGCGCGAAGATAATCATATTTAATTGAATATGAAAATATTTTTTGATCGTTGAAATCAGTTGAGTATATATTTCTCGTAGACAAATCTTTTATTATTTACTTTAGAAATGATAGGCATTGGGGCTGAGAGGGAATTGCTCGTTGTCTCTACTTCTATGATAATGATCGAACATTTTAATGTTGATGAGGGTCTGTTGTGTTCGAACGGAAAATGTTAGAAGCCTAACTTTTTCACTCACAGAATAGACCAAAGTATGTACTTTAAAATGCATGTTTAAAATAAAATTTTCGGAAGTACTATCCATTTTAAAATATAATGTGCTCCACTGTTGTATGAATGATTTTTGATAGGAATATTATAGAAGCCTGCGGTTTTCATCTTTTTATAAAAGAGATCCGAGACTATGGAAGTATATCAAAATTTGATTGGTCAGTAATTGACCGATTAGGCGAGATCTTGATGAAGATTCTCGAAAACAGTATTCTGAAATTATTACTTTTTCGGTTTAGACTTTTAATAGGATAAATCGATAGAAGATTTTTTTTTCTTTTGATCTACGCAAGGTCGACCTTCATAGCTTGTTTCATTTGAGAGTTATAAGACTTTTTCTGAGACTTTCAATATCAGCCAGTTGATCTGCGATCACCTAAAAAAGCAGCTAGACAGGCGTAATTTACTATAATGTGTCTAATACTGATATTTGTTTTTAGGTTCAAACTAATCTGACACTATTATCTCGATATTTCTGAAACATCACATGTAACTCGGGGAGTCGGCATTTCAGAAGCATTGAGATAAGTGTCAGATCAGTTTAAACCTAAAAACAAATATCATCATTCAACTCACCACGGTGAATTGTCCATAGCTAGCTGCTCTTCTAAATGATCACAGATCAAATGGCTAAAATTGAAAGTCTCAGGAAAAACCTTATAACTCTTAAATGGAGCAAGTTAGGAATGTCGGTCTTGCATAGATCGAAAGAGAAGAATTTTTTTTATTGATATGTCCTATTTAAAGTCTAAATTGACAGAAAAATCGCTTCAGAATATCGTTTTCGACAATCTCTAGCAAGAACTCATCTGATTGGTCAATTGTTAATCAATCAAATTTCGATATACTTCAATGGTTTTGAGTTTCGAATGGTGAAAACCGCAGATCTCTATCTCGTTCCTATGAAAATTTATTCAAAAAATGGTAACTTGCCTTTTATTTTGAATCAGGCAATCGAGAAGTTTTCAACGTTTTACATTTTCTGTGATATATAGATTCTTCAATGTTGGGATCATTGGTTAAGTTCAATTGATTGTATGTTTGAGAAAGCTCTTCTCATTAATATAACCAATTCTCTCGAACAGTTATCCTATATAATCAATGGTGATATTCAAACAAAACCAACACCATTTCTTAATATTGAACTTTGTTTAAATACAATCGAAACAACAACAACTGGAAATATTAAATACGTAGTAAGTTCTTCATCATATTAAATCATCGATATTAAAAAAAAATATTTAGTTGGATTTTCGACCATCTCTTGAACAATTATCTGAAACTTTAAATTCAATTAGTAAAATTCAATTAATTGAATCAATTAAAAATTTCGTACGCCTATGTGATCTTTTTTCTTATCATCCATTTCACAGAGAAGTAATTCAATTATAAATATATATCTATAGTTTTTTTTTTTGTTTGTGATATATCTTTGATATTCTAGCCTTATTATATTGTAATTGATAATTATCCATTAAAACAAAAATTAGAAAATAAAATTGCTTTAGGTATAACTAATTGTATATCAGAAATTAAAAAATATATTGAAAATAATTGGTTTCATTTTCGTCAATTATGGGAAGTTGATAAAGAAAGTTTTATAGCTGTTTATGAATCTGAAAATACTGATTTACAAGGTTTAGAAGCGGATATAGCTCGGTAAATTGTTTTTTGTTTTCGATTTTAAGAAAATAAAAACAATTTTATTTTTATTATAAACAATAGTTATACAGAATTAGCTAATAATATAAATAATCAAGAATCAATTGTTAATATACATATGATACAAATTGATTGTACATCATTTAAAGTATCATTAGTACAAATTTGTCATAAATGGCAACAAAGTTTAATACATATTGTATTAATTCGATTAGAAAAAGATCTTCAAATGATATTAACATTAATTAAAAATAATACAGAAAAGTAAGTTAAACTAATTACGAATATTTTCTCATAATAGTGAATTTTTGCTAATGAAGAAATGTCGGATTTTTCAAATATCGTTTGTGATTAGAAGAAGATAGATCCTGTTGGATTGATCTTGGTGGATTCGACCATGTTCGAGATCGATTCTATAGATCATACCCAAAAAGTAACAGTCAATTATAAGATCATCTTCGAGACTGTATGAGAAATGTGTGGGATATATTAGTCGCAGAATACAAATAATCGATACAAAGTATTTTGCTTCTTTGCAGCGACTATCAGACTTAGACTAAGAAATTTGGTTACAATTAGGAGTACGATTTGAGTCCAAAAGTTTAGACTCGACAGGTTCAACTAGAAGACGATTCAATTGGATTGAAATTCGATAAAAACAAAATAAAATGATTTTTACTCGATTATGTCAACGATAATGGGTCCTATGTGTTGGTCATGGGACAAAAGCATAGTGGAAGCATTGATGAAAAAGAAATATAAAGATGAGGTCTCGTATAATCATCCTCGTTCTAAAAAGATCTATTTGCCACTGCATTTTTAATAAATATAATATAGGTTTTTATTTCAACCTGTGATAGCGGTTATTGTTTGTAGAATTAAGGACCTTTACCTTCAAAAATCGATCTGAAGCCATGTACAGTCAAATCGCACGAAATTTTCAGGATATCTGGGGACTGTAGTGGAGATGCTATGTAAAATTCTCAGCCCTGTACTATGACATATGAGAGAGGATACTCATCAAACAAGGGTCAAAAATAATTCATCTAGCACCCAAAAAATTTCTGTGAGCCCCTTATTCTATCTATTTAATTTTCTTTTATTTGGAAGAGCATGTCAGATTGCAGTGCTCTATAGGTGTACTCTTGTTTTTAAATTCTTACTTTTGATGTAGAAAAAAAGCCAATTGACCCCAATGAAACTCCTTCGAAAATTCTGAGCTGCGCGATGAGAAAAACATTAACAGAAAAAAAAACGAGAAAGATTTCCCGAATTTTTCGATAAAAAAAAACATATTTTTTGCGCAAAGGGTAACGAAAATTATTGAAAATTTTTAGAAAACAACAACGTGCTAAATAAAAGATCATATCGTCTTTGAAAGATCTAACGAGAAGTCAAAATTGGGCATGATTAATTAACATGTTGTATATACGCAGTACTATGTAATTCAGCTACTATCGAAAGAGTGTTTTCGGCAGCAGGTCAAGTTGTCAACCAAAGCGGGTCTAATTTAGGCCCAATAACTTTTAATAATATTTTATTTTATTGTTCTATAGAGAACAAAAGAGTGATTGACTTCGAACTATACCGTTTTGTGTGCTTCAGTACCTATTTTTTGCACTCTGTAGTCTAATAAATCATATGATCAAAAGATATAAACATCTTGTGAAGATATGACGAGACAGCGAAGAAAAAACTTAAGGTCGGGGTGAAATGAGGAACAAAATATTCTCCCTGTTTCAGCCTCAACTAATCCTTCCATGCATATTTATCTTAATCTCGATTAATCTGCTGGAAATAGACATTTGTTTTTGAGGTGTCCTTAAAATATTTAATTCTCATATACATATATTCTTAACATTTGATTAGAATAAATATTCTTCCAAAAATTTATGATGAAATTCCAATCTATCAAGAATTTATCGATGAACTTAAAGCAGATGTATTAAGAATTGAAGCTAAATTACCTTTAATTAATGAAGAAGTTGCTTTATTACTTCGATATGAAATTGAAATCGATCCTAAAGTTAGTTATTTTATCGATTTTGTTTTTTCATAAATTGAATTTAAATTTTTGTTTTTCTTTTGAAAGCTTTTAGATCAACATCGTTTATTATCTCGTCATTGGGACAATTATAAAACATTTCTTGATGAATCAATAGCTTCATTTAAACGTGTTAAAGTAACTAAAACTTGAATATTATTCTATAAATCGTTTTCATTTTTGTTTTATTTTTTTTCGCATTAATTTTCAGGAAGCTTTTAAAATTCAATTACAAAAAGAACAAGAAAAAAATCTCAATGAAATATTTGAATTACAAAAATATTTTAAAATTACTGGTCCACATCAAGCCGATATGTCTGTATCAATTGCTTTAAATAAATGTGAACAAATCGAAGAACAAATCGAACAAATGGAAAACGATGAAAAACGATTAAAAATTGCTTATCGTATATTTAATTTAGATATGACTGTTTCGAAAGATTTACAAAATTTAAAAAAGGTTTTATTTTTTTATTCTTTTATTAATATGAAAAAACAAAACAATAAATTTTATTCATTGAAAAAAAAACAATCTAGGATATTGAAATACTTAAATCAATTTGGTTATTAGCTAAAGAATATGAAGAAATGCTAAATAAATGGAAAACAACGGAATTTTATCAATTAAATATTAATGAATTAAATGATTTTGCTCAAAATCAATATAAAAAATTACTTAAAATGTCAAGAGAATATAAAGTAAAGATGAATGAATTGCAAATCTTTTGGTACGATTGAGATTTTTGCTGTATTTGATTAATAACTTTTCTTTTCGCTAATCGATTTTAACAATCTTTTTTATATGTTACTGATCTCTGAGCGTTACACACACACACACACATACAGTGAATTTTAGCTCTCTAATTCATATTGCCATCAACATATGAGGCTCATACTGTAAAAAAAGTCGCATTTTATAAACAGATGCAATAAGAAAACGAAATTTTCTGAGAACCAAATGACATAAAAAAAGACACTGAATAGTCCATATTGTAGAGCTTGAAATATTCTGTTGGATAATACACCTTTTCCATGTCTATCTTTCTCTTGCCATGCCTATTCGTCCAAAATACTGTATGACAGATACTTTTTCGTTTTCGAATAGAACAACATTATTCTTCAATTTTCACAAACAGATCTATTTGTCAGTAGAATGTTCTGAAAATTTTAGCTCAAAGAAATATTTCCTTCCTGAAATACTCAAGTCGCAAAAAAAACAGAAAATTCTAGCATCTTTTGTGGAGTATGAGTGATTTTTAGGACTTTAATATCTCGAGAAGGACATATTCTTTTGAGGTGAAATCTTCAGCGCATTCTACTGACAAATAGACTTATCCGTGGGTAAAAGCTTTAGGTTTGAATAACGATTATTCGATTTGTTGGTATATACCATACCAGCGAATAAATTCTCGTAAAATGCTTAGAACTCGAGATAGAAAACTTAATGGAACTTATTCTTTTAAAGTTTTTTATATCTTATTGAACTCTACTTTATGCACTAAGTCCGATTCAAAAGCGATTGATCAGTTGAAAACGTTCCTTCGTGAAAGTGAGTCAAAATAGATAGTATTTTATACGATTGAATCCATTTCATTTTAAAAAGTCATCCTACTTTCATTACAAACGTCGGTTCTGGATTAATAAGCAGTTTTACAATTAAATAAAGTTTCTTACGATATGCTTACACTAGAGTAAGTCGTATCTTGGTGAACGTGTAGGAAATTTTTGTTGTGTAACATAGACATAGAGCATAATAAACTCTATTACTCAGAAATTACTTAGATCTACTTTCTATGTTTTTTGCATCAATCGTACCGAAAAGTTGCAATTTATTCTTATAAATTTTATTTAAGCTAAGAAAAAAGAATTTATTTAGGAAAAAGATTGGATTATTCTTGATTCACTTCGTGATCGTATTGATACATTTCGTCGTATATTACCTTTAATTGAATCATTACATAATCCACATATGCGTTCTCGTCATTGGGAACAAATAAAATATGAAACAGAAAAGAATTTTGAATATAAATCAAATAAATTTACACTTGAACAAATTCTTGATTTACATTTGTAATTATTGATTTGAAAAAAATAATTAAATAGATATATATCGTTGTTTTTTATTGTGTTTGTTTAGTGAAGAAAATATTCAATTGATTACTGAAATATCAGAAAATGCATCAAAAGAATATTCAATTGAACGAATGTTAGAAAGAATTATTCAAATATGGAATGATATGAACTTTGAAACAACAATACATAAATCTAATGTTTTTAAAATAAAGTATGATGATTTATTTTTAAGATCAAATAACATCATAAATAAATGCAACAATGCGGTCTTACAAAAAATCCGATTGAGATGTGTATGGAAAATAGTATAACACTGCATTGACTCAAATAAGCAAAATCTATAATGGTTCATCTCATTAGTAGTTTCTTCTCTGGCTATGATAATCTTACTGAGTTTCTGACCTAATGCAAGGCATATCATGAAAAATTCAATGTCGTTATTTCAGCCTGAAATTTTGATAATGAAGAGTTCTTATAATAACGAAACTGAATTTTTCCAAATCTTTTCTAATGTATGTGCTTTGGTTAAGAATCTGATATCATAAGAATGAAACATTCATTCTACAGGATTGAAAATAATATTATTCCAGGACAATACCACTATAATTTCAAATAGAAGAAATAATGAATTTTATATCAAATGAAAGCTTGTCAAAAATGGGGTTTATTGATACTAAATAGTAAGGGTTACGAAAACTTTTTAATATCGAACTTAAGAAACTTTCAGAAATTTTATACTTTTTTGCCGTGATAAAGTAAGGTGCCAGTAATTCAAAAATGGAGTGAAATGTTTTTCTTAGATATTTTTACATGGTTCGATAGAGCTCGTCGAGCTCTATAAAACTGTATATACGAAAAATTTTTTAAACAGAGTTGTTGCGTTCAAATTCACTGAAAACTGTCTAAAGAATATACCAAAAATCCACATTTTTTACACGTTTTCTAAGGAAAAAAAGTAGTCTTTTTTTATACTAAATTCAGCTGTTTTCCATTAGTATCTTTATGTAAAATGTTGAAAACATACTCATTCGATGCAGTTTTTCGTGCTGCATCGAATGAATATATTTCGAAAAGCCTGAGGGAGTAAAAATAATAAAAAAAAGCCAATTTGTTTGAAAATTCGAGTGTTTTTCTTCCATATAAAAAATATGACATTTTTTAACGTTTTTTAAGATTTTCCAAATAGTTTTTTGAATTTTTTATCACAAAAAAATGACTCAGAAAATTTTTCACATAGACAGTTTTGTTGAGCTCGACGAGCTCTATCGAACCATGTAAAAGTATCTAAGGAAAACATTTCACTCCATTTTTGAATTACTGGCACCTTACTTTATCGCGGCAAAAAAGTATAAAATTTCTGAAAGTTTCGTAAGTTCGATATTAAAAAGTTTTCATAACCCTTACTATTTAGTATCAATAAACCCCATTTTTGACAAGCTTTCATTTCATATAAAATTCATTATGTCTTCTATTCGAAATTATAGAGGTACCCCCTGGAATAATATTATTTCTAACCCTGTAGATGAAAGTTTCGATGCATGATAGGAATCATAAGATCGCTTTGTAATCAAAATTTCAGATCGGAATGGTGACATTAGATTTTTTCCTCTAGGTTTAACTTGCTCTTATTAGACTCTATCTAATGGAACAAGTTTAGTTTCAAAAGCTTTTTTTATCACCTCAAGAGATTTCCTCGCAAGACGATTTCTAATAGATTATCATAACAGCGGCTGGCATGAACGATCTCATTCATTTTTTGGTAATATATGTGATCAAAAGTTCGATAGAAGTCAAATGAACAAACAATGCGAGTACTCGCCCAAATCTTATCTACTCTACAAAATTGAATATTAGAATTTTACCTCAATTGAAAAACTACATTCATCTTTCTGTCTATATATTTTATTGGATCTATACGAATTTTGGAAATTGTAGTGCACAAACGAGAAAGTAGCGTAATATTTTTCCAGGATATGGTGAAAAGAAAATGTTTATTATGATTTATTGTAGTATGCAGAAAAAGGAGATTTAAAATCTCTATCGTTATGTATCGAATGGTAGACGTTCGATTTCCTCACTATAGATTGATTTCAACTATAATATTCCACAATGTCGTATCAATATTTTCTATTTTGCAAATGTTTTTAGAAATTTCTAGATAGACGAATTCCATTTTCGGAAGAGCATTCTAAAAGGAATGTTGAAGTATAGGGATAGAAATCTAGACTCCTGCTGATAGACACTTAAGCAACGCTCTCTTTTCTCTATTACAGACCGTGACAAATATTGCGATACTGCCACTTTCTTCTCATTGACCATGACGGATATTTTCATGAGATCGAAGTCTACTGCGGAATTAGTATGCAACACAGGCTAAATTTAAGATATCTATCCTTTGCCCTTCTTTTTGCACTGACTATAACATACAACGATGATCATCTTTCAATATCGACATGCATTAATAGTAGATAGAAATTGACAAATCGAAACCTATATTGATGAATGAATTCTTTTACAATGTTAGCAGGTCTATCATATTTCATATTCTAATTCTACACGAATTGTACTAAAGAGTGGTTTTTTTCTTTGCTTTTTATCCAATCTATAGAGCTCCTGATGAGATAATTCAGTATGTTGAAGAACATACAGCTCAAATATCAACAATAAAAGGCACACGTCATGTAAAACCATTTCAAAATGAAGTTGACTATTGGGAAAAGTCCATAGCACAAATATCAGAATTATGTGATGGTTTATTTAATGTTCAGCGACAATGGTTATATATGGAAGGTATATTTACTTCTGATGATGTCCAACGACAATTATCACATGAAACAACTGAATTTAAATATATTAATAAAATTTGGCAAGATGAAATTATAGCTAAAATTCGTGAAAATTCAAACGCCTTATATGTTGCAACAAAATTAAGTTTGTAGAAAAATTGAAAACAAAAATCATATAAATGAAATTTTTTGTTTTTTTGTTCGTTTAGATTTATTTGATAAAATACAAAATTTATTAAAATATTTAGAAAATATTCAAAAGAAAATGGAAGATTATCTAGAAACAAAACGTTCAATATTTCCACGTTTTTATTTTATATCAAATGAAGAATTAGTTGAAATTCTTAGTCTTTCACGTCAACCTGATCTTATTCAAATACATTTAAAAAAACTTTTTGATAATATTAAATCTTTACGTTTATTAATTAAAAAAACTATTCTAGCTAATGGAATTCAATCAAATGAAGATGAACAAATTAATTTAATATCAACATTATCTTTAGAAGGTAATGTTGAAAATTGGCTGAAAGATTTAGAAATTAAAATGCAAATTACTGTACGAGAATATTTAAAAAATTCTTTATCAGCACTTAAATTACAATTAAAAAAACGTGATAAATGGATTAAAGATTGGCCTAGTCAATGCTGTGTAACTGCTAGTGAAATTGAATGGACATCAGCAACAACAAAAGCTTTATTAACATGTCAAGCTGATGGAAGTTTAAAACCATTAAAAAAATTATTTCATACTCAAGTAAATATTGTTAAGTTTTACAAATAAATTCATTAATTTTTCAATGAACTAAATTTAAATTCTCGTAATGATTGTATGATTCATTTGAACATCAACATTGAATATGAAGATAGTCTTCTAATAATCATTAGTTTTGATAGACTTTTAGATGGTTGAATAGCAATAATTTCTGATTTTTGTCAAAATCATAAACATAAAATTTTATAATGTGTACTAATTGAAATATCAAAATTCTGAATATAAATATTCCGAGAGTTAACTAGTAATGGGAAATATCTCTGGTCGAACATTTGAATTGCAATTTGTGAACGATTTTTATGATCTCTCGAGTTTATTTCTCATTATAAAATGAGAAATAGTCACTAGTTATCTAAAATTTAATAAGAGAATAGTGAAAAGATGAATATCTAATAGGATAATTCGAGATATTAGTATTACACGACCTGCATAGTCCAACATATAGTTTCTCATTCAGAAATGACCTAGCCTAGTCCAGTCTATGGGTTGTTCCTATGGGCCATCAATCTAGTGACAAATTTTTCTCATAGATAGCAGAGCTTGTCATACTGGTGGAAATTGTTAATCCTCCTTAGCTATTCTTTTATTTCATAAGAACACGATAAGGACATTTTGTTGAACAAAAGGAAAGTTTTTTAATCCAAATAGGCAATTTAGTTGATATTAACTATTTGCCGAAAGAATGTCTACATGCCAATGCAAGACTGAAAAAATTCCAATGGATCACGTAAATTAGTGACATACTTAAGTCAATTGAATTTGTCGGTATTGTATCCGTATGTTGATAGTTTCTTGGTAAATTATTATTACTAAAATTTTATTTCTGTATTCGTTATTCTGCTTTGTCTATTTACGCGCTCTTCATTACAGAAAGTTTTGAGCCAATAGAAGGACTAACAAGGTAATATATCCAACTATCGAAGCCCATTTGAATTTATATGATAACTACGAATAGGTCTCTGTGCGATTAAGAAAAGATTAAAAGGATTCGAGTCTGTGGCATAGTAATGAAGAGTTATAAGCATTTTAATGAAATTTTTACAGAGACCGAGGTATTTCAAAAACAAAAAACTAAAACAAAGAATTTTGACCTAAAATTTTATCTATAGGCAGATTCAGTAAATAGTAAGTGGCCATTTTTAATGACTATTAAATCTACCTATAGACTAAATATCAGGTTGAAACACTTTATTTTAGCTTCTTCGAAAATACCTTACTCTCAGTAAAAATTTCATTAACTAGCCATAATCCTTCATCAGTAGATTGTTCGATCTGATAATTTCAAAATATTCAAATACTTGTTTGTAAACCTATCAATGACTTATTTTGAATAATTATAGATCAAAATTCTTGACCGATATTCAAACACGAGTCGTATATCACTTGATAAAATACTTCGTCTTCGTGTTATTGGTATTATTACTAAAGAAGTACATGGACGTGATATTATCGAACGATTAATTAAAACTCAAACAATGGATTTACAATCATTTGAATGGCAAATGCAATTAAGATTTTATTGGGAACGACATGAACATAATGAAGATTGTATTATTCGACAAACAATAACAAGATTTACTTATAACTACGTAATTTATTCAATAGAATTTTTCGAGAATTTATAAAAGAAAACAAATGAAATCTTATAAAATAGGAATATTTAGGTTGTACAAGTCGTTTAGTTATTTCACCATTGACTGATCGATGTTATATAACTCTAACGACTGCTCTACATTTATTTCGAGGTGGAAGTTCCAAAGGACCAGCTGGTTTGTTACTTTGTTTTCTTTTAATCTCTACACGCACATATATATATATATATATTAATTTATCATAAGGTACTGGCAAAACTGAGACGATAAAAGATTTAGGAAAAAATTTTGCTATTTATGTTGTTGTTCAAAATTGTTCAGAATCACTTGATTATAAATCCATGGGAAAAATGTTTTCAGGTTTTGCTCAGGTTTGTCTTTAGTTTATTCTTATGAGGAAGCTACTTGAACTGATATCGGTCGTGTGAGTCTGTATTGGATTCACAAGCAGATCTTGGTACGACTAGAAAAATTCTAAAAGAATTCATGCCTACGAGGTTCTGAAGTCGAATGATGATCGTTTTACTAAATTTTCTATCCAGCTTTAAATATTTACAGAAAAATTAAATAACGAAATTTCGCCCTTAGATAGGCCTAATGACTTCGGGAATATACTGAAAGTTTTAGTCGAAAAGAATGTTCCTTTGTTGAGAGATTGAATTTTCAAGTAAACTTAATTTTTTTGGAAATTCAGTCTCTCGACAAAGGAACATTCTCTTCGACTGAAATTTTTAGGATATTCTCAAAATCATTAGACTTATCCATAGACAAAGTTTCAGGTCAAAATTTCATTATTTAATTTTTCGGCAAATGTGTAAAGTTGGATCGAAAATTCAATAATACGGTCATAAGTCGACTTCAGAACTCATTGGCCGTAAACCCTTTTAGGATTTCTCTAGACTTACTGAAACCCCTTGGTGAACTCAATATGAGCTCAAACGATGGATATCAGTTCGAGTAGTTTCCTTGTTAATACAAATAGATTTAATATAATCTTCTGTTTTTGTAGAGTGGTGCTTGGGGATGTTTTGATGAGTAGGTTATCTGCTTTTAATCAAATATCAATAAATTTTCTTTGTCTCATGTACATTAGATTTAATCGTATTAATATCGAAGTATTATCAGTTGTTGCTCAACAAATTCATTCAATCTTAACAGCTTTATCTTTGAGACAAAAACAATTTGTATTCGAAGGCAAAGAAATTCCACTTTTACCTCAAGTTGGTATTTTTATAACGATGAATCCAGGTTTTTCTATAACTTTTTTTTTTGTAATTTCATTAAAAAAAATAAATAATCGTTTTTAAGGTTATGCCGGTCGAACTGAATTACCTGATAATCTTAAATCAATGTTTCGACCAGTATCAATGATTGTACCAGATTCAATTTATATTGCAGAAAATTTTCTCTTTAGTGAGGGATTTCAAAATACAAGAGTAAATAGAACAAAAAGAAAGCAACGAACAAAAAAGAAATTCATACGATATAGATTTATTATTTAGAATTTAGCTCGTAAAGTTTATACACTTTATCAATTATCAACACAACAACTTTCTAAACAAGATCATTATGATTTTGGTTTAAGATCTTTAACAGTAAGAACGAATAATATTTTTATTTTCTTCATAATTAAATATAGAAATTTTTCTTTTCTTTTCAAAGGCTGTTTTACGATATGCTGGTGAAAAAAAACGAATAAACCTAAAAATGACAGATAATGAAGTAAAGATTAATATTGAATTAACTTTTTTTAGCATATAGATTTTTCGTAGGTTCTTCTTTTATCTATGCTTGATATGAATGTACCTAAAATGACTGCACAAGATTTACCTTTCTTTAAAAATATTGTTGAAGATTTATTTCCTGGTATTGATATACCAAAAATTGATTATTCAAAAGTTCGGTTTACTTTTTATTTTCTATCATTTCAAAAAGAAAAAAATTTTTTTTTTTCTTCATTTGATTAGTTAATTGAAGCTATTGAATATGAAATGAATATACATCATTTACAAATAACACAAACATCTATTGACAAAGTTATTCAATTATATGAAACACATCATTCTCGTCATTCAGTTATGCTTGTTGGTAAAACTTTATCAGGAAAAACGACAACATGGAAATTATTTAAATATGCCTTAATTACATTAAATAAACAAGGTTTTAGTGAATATAATAAAGTCATGGTACGACATTTTATTTATCATGAACTCTTTTGTGAAACATAATCAGAAAAGAATTTTGAACTATAGGACTAAAAATTTGCGCCCTCGCGACACAAATAGTGACAGACTTATGAGGGAAATCTCCTAATTTATTAATTGCTTATATGCTGGGACTATGTGCATCAGGTAGATCCTAATGGATTATGAATACACTGATGAAAATATTTAATCGCGAAAACATCAGGCTATTTGATCTATGCCTGTCCTGAAATAAAAACATCGAATCTTGAGGTATATATAAACGATGTAAAAGTTGCGCTTTTAAAATAAACTGTTTTCGTTAAGACTTGTTTCTATGCGAAGTTTCAAGTCGAAATTCTAAAATCAGTTTTTCCTGAGGAGCGACCACGACATTGTATTGAAGAATACTGTCAAAACGTATTATCTCGGAGATAATAAGATATAGGCTCGAACTCTTTTCGGTACATTTATAACTCAGTAGGGTCCACATGATGCACATAGTCTCAACATAAAATCGATTAATCAGTTGGAGGACTACCCTCTTTATCCATGGAATCCAAGTATTCTGTGCAATTATTCTGAAAGAAGATTAAATTTAAGATACTTGTCTTTGACGCGCCTTCTTTCCAAATTCAATGTAAAATATTGTGAATAAAATCTTTCATCATGAACATATCAGTACATTGGAAGTTCCGAACTCAAGAATTGCTTGATTTACTATATATGCAGATCAATCGTGTTTCATATTTTAACCCCACAGGGATTGTGCTGAAAGTTTTTTTTTTTTTATTTAGGAATATCCAATTAATCCAAAAGCTGTTAGTTTAGGAGAACTTTATGGTCAATTTAATTTAGCAACAAATGAATGGAACGATGGAATTCTTAGTATGATTATGAGACAAGTTTGTGCTGGTTAGTGTATACTTACCGATGAAACTGTTTTAACTGTTCAATTGCTTTTTTAAAGAAAACTACTGAATTATAGGGTATCAATCATGTTGGTTCCGAAATTGTCTTAGATCTTCCTATACTAATTTTCAGACAAACGAATTTTTCGATCTGTTCTGATTTTAGAATATATTGAATAGTCCAGAAAACAATAACTTTTTTTTGTCGTTGTAAATCATTTTTCTTTTGGAGAACATACAACCATTTGAATTCATACAACATATAAATATAGACATTTCCATGTGGACATCATCAAGATGATATTATTTGACTTGAACGCTCATTTTTTTAAAGACAAAAAAGATTTTTGTTTGATGGCCAAATCAATATGCACTATAATCTGAAAAACAGCATGTAGAGATTTAAAAGATTTCTCATGTCCATATTCAGAATCAACATGGTCGATAACCAAAAATTCAATAGTTTTTGATGAGTAATCGATTGACCAGTTGTAAAATCTTTTTTCAGTAGTTCATTTTTTTCATGTATTATTTCAGATGAAAAATCTGATGAAAAATTAATTCTTTTCGATGCTCCTATTGATACATCATGGATTGAATCAATGAATTCGTTAATGGATGATAATAAATTATTAACATTAGCTAATGGAGAACGTATTTCAATGCCATCTCAAGTCACATTATTATTTGAAACAGAAGATTTATCAACAGCTTCACCAGCAACTGTCTCACGAGCTGGCATTGTCTATTGTGATTATGAAAAATTACGATGGAAACCTTATTTAGAATCCTGGTTAAAACAAAAGACATCTCAGGTGAATTTTAAAAAAATAAAGACATTGTTTCGAAAGGGAAAATAAACTCAATTGAATTTTACATTAGTTTAAAAAATTAAGTCAATAAGATTCTATAGAGCCTTTCATGTTTTTTTTAACAATCTTCATGTTTGATTAGAAAGAAAATGTGAAACAGATTTTTATGAAAACTATATTTAATATAGGATCTTCAAACAGAATTTTCCAATTGTATAACAAAATATTTAGAACCTATAATGAAATATAAACATATCCATTGTAAAGAATTAATTCCAATTCATGAACTTAATGGAATTATTTCATTAACTCGATTATTTGATACATTTTGGTATTTAAATGAAATACAAATACAATTAAATGAAAATGAAACAATATCAGGACGTTTAATTGAAATGTGGTTTGTATTTTGTTTAATTTGGTCTATTGCTGCTAGTGTTAATGATGAAGGAAGAAAAAAGATTGATATTTTTTTTCGTGAAACTGAAGGTAAAAATTTTCTTATGACAAAAGAAAAAACAATGAAGAATGATTTAGGTACATTTCCTAATAAGGATACAGTATTTGAATTTTATGTTGATACAAATAATCGAACATGGATACATTGGGAAGAACAACTTAAAGAAGGATGGATTTATAATTCTGAGTAATTTTTTTAACTTTTCGATCTGTTCGATTTGTGACGGAATCATGTCTTTTTTTGTATTTCGTATTTTCAATATCTCAACAGAATGAAGTTGGATAAAACTGAAATTTTTCAGAATATATCGAAGTTAAATTGTTCTATACATCTTGAAAGTTTGATTAGATTCGAAACTTCTTTTAGAAGTTTTTATTTGAAATATAGACCGTGATGGGACCATTGAAAAAAAGGCATCGAGTTTGAGTTCTATGTAAAGAACTGGAAAAGTTAGCTGAATGAAAACTATGAATGAAAACTTTTTGTGAGAATGTCGTAGCTTAGATAACGCGCTATATATGGGAAAGAAAAGAAAATTTGAAAAATGTAAAAGAACGTCTTTGAGAGAGGAAAAGGCTTCGTGACGAAATCATGTTTTCCTGAACTTCAGACAATTAACTATAGTTCCTCACAAGAGAACTACTCTTAAATGATATCTGCTGTTTGAACTCATATTGGATTCACATGCAGATCTTATTAAGAACAGCAAAAGTCTAAAAGGATTCGTCTCGATTGGCCTATGACGGCGAGTCATAATCGGTTTACTGAATTTTTGATCCAAAATCTGGCCTATAAATATGTCTAATGACTCTGCGAATATCCTGAAAGTTTCAGCCGACAAGAATATTTCTTCATCAAGATATTGAATTTCTAACAATAATTCTTTATCGAAAAATTGAGTCTACTTGAAAATTTAATAACTCGAGGAAGAAACATTCTTTTCAGCTGAAACTTTCAGGATATTCTAATAGTCATTAGATCTATCTATAAGCAAAATTTTGGATCAAAAACCTAGTAAATCGATTATAACCCGGCGCCAAAGGCCAATCAAGATGAATCTTTTTAGGCTTTTGCTATTCTTACTAAGACCTGCCTGTGGATTCAGTATGAGCTCAAACGATGGGTGTCATTTGAAGTAATTTCCTCATTTGTTAAAAAAGCAATGATACCAAAATATTTTTCATCATTCTTCCAACAACGTAAAAATTCTGTTATGAAAGCATGAGGTGCATATTCAGTGTTATTCCAATCAGTTTTAGAACATATAATTAGTTTCGATAAGAAACTATTTGTTTATACGTGAAAATAGAAACGTAAGACGAATATGCATTTTATCCGATTCAGAATGGTGTCTCTTTAACACCATTTTTTTCTCTATAAGATATATGAAGCGACATAAAACCTACGCTTTTGCATACTATCGGTATTGCTCTACACGATGATCATATTGATTTTCCTTAATTCTATGTTCCAATGTCACCGAGATAAATGCACTGCTATGTGCAGGGGACGTTTGATCTTCTTTAATGTTTTTTTTTATATTTTAATACAGAATTCCATTTTATAAAATGATTGTACCAACTGTTGATACAATTCGTTATGAATATTTAATTCACAATTTATTACTTAATAAACATCAAGTTTTACTTGTTGGTGCTATTGGTACAGGTAAAACAACAATAGCTGAAAATGTTCTTAAAAAAATTGATTCGACTTTATTTAATATACTCATTATTCATATGTCTGCTCAAGTAAATATATGAAATCACGTATTTCTTTTATTTCGAAAAGATTAATATGTTTTTTTTTCTTTGAAATCGAATAGACAACATCAAAAATGTTACAAGATATATTTGAAATAAATTTAGAAAAACGAACTAAAACTATATATGTTCCGATGAATGGAAAAAAGATGATTACATTGATTGATGATATGAATATGCCAAATAAAGTAAAATTAATTGATAATGATTATAAAGAAAAAAAAAACAAAATAATTTTATTTAGGATACATATAGTTCTCAACCATCGCTTGAATTAATGTAAAAAATATCGAAATAAATTTTTGGTTTTTTGTTATTTGAAAAATAATTTTCTTTTAATAATTAGTCGAATGTGGATCGATTATGAATTTTGGTATGATCGAAAAACACAAGGCGTGAAATTTATTAAAGTTAGTTATAAAAAATCAATTTCGATTATACTATTCTGTCTATAAATAAAAGGATATGTGTCTACTGACAGCAATGGGTCCACCGGGTGGTGGTCGTCACCAGATATCACAACGGTTACAAAGTCGATTTAATCTCATCAATATGACATTTCCATTCGTATGAATACCAGACACAAAAAAAAATTTTATTATATTGTTTATTGTTTTTTTTCTATTTGAAATATAATCAATTAGGAACATGAAATCTGTCGAATATTTGGTACAATGCTTAGTCAAAAACTACAGTCTTTTGATGATGATATTAAATATCTTGATCAAACAATAACAAAAGCAACTATTGATCTTTATCAAACAATTGAAAAAAAATATTTACCAACACCAACGAAAATTCATTATGTAAAAATAAAGAAATTGTTTTGTGAAACACGATCTAAAAGAAGTATTGCAGTACAGGAGTAAAAATTTGAACCCATTCTCCGGTGGTGGATCTATGATCTCGGGAAAACGGAACGATCATAGTCACAAAACATGTTTTGAAGTTTGTTAGAAATCGTATCGCTTCATTCTTGAAGTTTTCTACTAAGAAATACGAAAAATATTTCGAAAGAGAGGGACAATCGCCTTCAGTGTCTCCATTTTCCTCTCACAGATCGTGACAGACACCTTACAAGGATACTATCCTAAGTGACAGCAGCCGTTTGAGCTTATATTTGACCTACACATAGGTTTCAGTGAGGATAGCAAAAGTCTAAAAAGGAGTTCACCCTACTGGTCTCTGATGCTGAGTTATGACCGGTTTACCGGATTTTCGATTCATTTGTAGGTAGTTCACAAAAAATCGAACGAGAAAATTTCAGTCTAATATTTTGCCTACAGATAGATCTAATGACTCTGCGAATATCCTTAAAGTCTCAGCCGAAAAGGGTGTTTCTTCGTCGACTTATTCAGTTTTGAAGTAAACTCGATCTTTGTGAGAAAGGGCTATTTTTGAAAATTCAATATCTTGACGAAAAACCATGCCTTTTGGCTGAAACTTTCAGGATATTCTAAGAATCATTAGATGCATCTATAGACAAAATATTAGACTGAAATTTCGTCTTTCGATTTTTTTGTGAACTACCTGCAAGTAAATCGAAAATCCAGTAAACCGATCATAACTCGGCGACAAAGGCCCATGAGAACGAATCCTTTTAGGCTTTTGCTGGTTTCAATGAGACCTGCATGTGGGTCCAACGTGAGCTCAAACAGTGGGTGTCATTTGGGGTAGCTTCCTCATTTGAAACACTTCCTTCCTCCCACATCATAGATTATGACAGACGGTGTTGATATACGACCAATGATCATATATCAATAACGTGCCGTTACTAAGTTCTTATTGCATTTCTGGAGGAGGATAGTGCAGAAATATGTCCTAAAAATAGATCGAATAAAACAATCTCTCTGAAATTAGCAACAGCAGCTATATTGTGTTTCACATTATGATCCCACAGGGATTGCGCTAACAGGTTTTTTTTGTTTAATTATCGATTTAAGAAAATTTCTATTTTTAGACATTTAATATGCGTGATATATCACGTATGTTTGAAGGTCTTTTATTATGTCATAAAACAATAATAACAAATAAAGTTGAATTTCTTCGTTTATGGATTCATGAAGCACATCGAGTTTATTCTGATCGATTTATGACAAATAATGATCATGAATTATTTATTAAAATCTTAAGTGAAAAATTAGCTTTCTATTTTGATCAAGTTTATCATAATGTATGTCATAATCGAGAACCTCCAATCTATTCCGATATTATGAGACAAGATGGTGTTTATGAGGTTGTACAAGAATTTTTAATTCATTTTTTTCCACGTTCTTTTCCTTCGTATAGGAAATTCGTGATTATGATAAATTAAAATTATTTCTTGAACAAACTATTCAACGATATAATGAAACTCCATTAATGTTATCTATGGATTTAGTTATGTTTCGTGATGCTATACTTAATATATGTCGAATTATACGTGTATTACGACGACCACGTGGCAATTTACTATTATTAGGTATTGGAGGTAGTGGTCGTCAATCATTAGTACGTTTAGCAGCATTTATTTGTGATATTGTTATGTTTCAAATTGAAATTGGACGACGTTATGGTTATGGAGAATTTAAAGAAGGTATTAAAATTTTTTTCTTTTCTTTTATCTAATAAAAGAAAAAATTTTCATCTTTTATGTTAATTAATACAGACAACATAATTTCTATATTTCGAATGATATCAAACAGATAATCAAAAATGTTTCGTTTAATGTAACATTGCTGATTAGAGATGATCACGAAAATTTTTGATTGTCGATTGAAAAATAAGATATATCTTATGAGAAGCACTTTAAATGATTTGTTTTTATTCATATTTGTTGATCACGATAGATATTTTTACATATTTAGATTTACGCCGTTTAATGAAATTATGTTCTATATCAAATCGTGAAGCTGTTTTTCTATTTATTGATACACAAATTATCGATACTTTCTTTCTTGAAGATATCAATGCATTATTACATACTGGTGAAGTACCAAATTTATTTCGTAATGAAGATATTCAAGAGGTTTAATATTTTTTTATTTTATATTTTGATTTTGTTATCGGAGACATATACGATGTTTCATAAGTTTTAAGGCTCGATAAAATACAAGCTGGGACTAATTGCTAACCAAATGTTTGTTTATCATTTTTTTATTACTTCGCTAACTCACTTTCATAAGAATTCAATCAATTATTTTTTCGATTCTTTGTTTAATCTAATTTTTATTTGTTTAAAACTTGAAACTTATTTTCCTTGCACTTTTTTCTTGAATGTTTCTCATACATTGATCATAAAATAATTAATCACTAGTTTGTAATATAATCTTTGTTTTGAATCCATTTTATCTTGAAATCTTCGTTGAATTTCTTTACAAGTAACGCTTTTAATAACTGTAACGTATACGCCATCATTCATATAAAGTCTTTTTTTTGTGTTTATCATCCCGTTGTATTTTTAGTCCTGAAATATTTTCAGCCTATTATTGAGAAAAAAAGAATCTTTAAAAAATTCATGTTGACCGATATGGGAAAATTTATCATAATATTCTCATGTCTGTATTTTTATTATTACTAGAGAGTGTATCAATTCCCAGTTCGAAGTACAGATCAAATGATCGAAAGTAGTGTTTTATCCAGCATGAGGGCTGCGAGAACAGCGCTCCTCCGACGATCGGGTTGGCCTTCCGAAGTTTGTGGCTGCTGTACTACGCACTGTATGTTTGTACTCCTAAAAATTGATATTCATCTTTCCAAAAGAGAAAATCTAGATAAAACATAGAGCGAAAGAATTGTTCGAACAGAGCATTTCAGATCAGCGAACATTTGTACTCAAAGCCCATTTAGATACATTTGGTTAGAGATTAGTTCCTAATTTAAATATAAACAAATTTTATTGCACCTCAAAACTGATGAAATGCTCTTGTATAATAAATAGATTCGTAATCAACTATCTTCTACAATCAATCAACAAGGTATACTTGATACAAATCTTAATATTATGCAATTTTTTTACAATCGAGTCAAATCTAACTTACACATAGCTATTTGTATGAGTCCATTTGGTGAAACATTTAGGTAGGTTAAATCGATTTTTTAAATAGTAAAAACATATATTAAATATGATTTCCTAGAAATTATATTCGAATGTATCCAGCATTAGTTAATTGTACAACTGTGATTAATTTTTCTGAATGGCCACATGAAGCTTTAATTGATGTGGCTCATTATTTTTTGACAAAGTCTAATTTTGGATTAGAACATAAGGAAATAGTAAAGATCTTTTTTAAATTTTATAACATTTGAGATTTCTTTGTTTTTGTCATAGACTCATCGTACATTAGCTGATCTTTGTGCTTTTATTCATCTTTCATCAAAAACTTTAGCAACTCGAATGAAAGATGAACTTCGTCGAGAAATTTATATTACACCAACAAATTATCTTCAATTTGTTAGTAATTATAGCCGGTATCAACTTAATAATATTTTTTTCCTTCTGCTAAAATAAGTTCCTTTTTGTTTTTTTCAAGTTTGTTCGAAGGAGAAAAAGTAAAAATTCAACATGAATACAATCGTCTTCAAATGGGTATTATTAAAGTAGCCGAAACTCGAGAAAAAGTAGCTGAAATATCATTAGAATTAGAAAAGAAAAAAATTCTTGTGGCACAATTACAACGAGAATGTGAAGATTTTTTAGAAAAAATTGTTGAACAAAAAAATAGTGCTAGTGAACGAGAACGAGTAAATCATGATCATCGTTTTTTTTTTGTATATTTAATTAATCGAAAAAAAAAATCTTCAATAGCAAGTACAAGCATTTGGTGCACGTATTGGTGAAGAAGAAATTCGATGTCAAACTATAGCAGCAACTGCACATGAAGAATTAACTGAAGTTGAACCATTATTAATTAAAGCAAATGAAGCATTAGAACAATTAACGAAACGAGATATTGGCGAAGTAAAAGCATATGTACATCCACCAAGTCAAGTAGAAAAAGTGATGAAAGCATTGATGATTTTAAGTATGTTGAATTTGCAGAAAGTATAATGAACTTATTTGAATAGTATTTAAAGAAAAACGATTGTAAATATTTGTCTTCTAAGATAAGAAATGAATTATTTCATTATTTTCGATTCTCATTTCATTTTATTGATAAAAGAAAGATCAACCGTATATTGATTTGAATTTTTTCTACTCGTTTAACATTGCCTATTGAAATGACCGATCTATGCTCGGACAGCAAGCATAGCTCATTTTTTGGCGATTGCATCTTTATCTTAACAACTGTTTAACTCTATCGCTAGAACTTTTTTTAAGAAAAGAATGTAAATCAAACGCTGAAGGAAACATGTTAAGATTGAAACGAGCACTCTATAAACAGGTAATTATAGTTGATTATATCTTGCCTAATTGAATATTCTTTCGTGGCATTTTTAAATGTATACTGTTGCTAAAATGTAAGTGTTTAAAAATGTAACATTATTTCTTAAGAAATATTAAAGTGCCACAAATATGAGAAAAAATAATTGGCAAAAAATATTTCTCCAGTTATTGTTAGGCACGGTCACCAGGCGACTGTTCCGCTCGCCAAAAATACTTTCCTGACGATGAGTGTCATCGCTCTCCGTATTGTCAAGGCTTCATTTTTAAGTTCGGTGTACATCTTCGATCTATTGTCATTGGAGCAAAATAATAATTTCGCTTAATTTGCAAATATTTGAAATTTCATTCCTATTTGATCTATTAATGCAAAATCATTTTCAATTAGTGTTGAATTGTTTTACATCGAACAGACTGCATTAAGATCGTAAACTATGCATGCGCTGAATCTGTACTTTGGTTCAAGAACTATTTAAAGACTTCTGACAGTGCCAAGTACTTAGATGATTGTCCAAGCATTTTTTCTGCTATATGTATAATCATAGAAGTATTCTAAGATTCAGTTATTTCTAAGTATCATTGATTTTCTTTTAGGATGTTTGTAACTCTTCAGTTTTTACATGATTTATTTTACTGTATGTAGATCTACCATAGTTAATCTTGAAATACTTTCTATTGGTATCTTAATTAACTGAAAATGGCAGCAATCAAGGCCGAATCTTAGAGTTCAATGCATGCCTATTGTAAATTAATTAGAAGTACATTATCAATCCATATAGATTCATTTTTTAAACAAGATATATTGTAAAATATCACTAATTTCTTATGTTTTAGAGGGCAAAGAAGATACATGGGAAGAAGCAAAGAAAGATTTGGCTAATGTAGATTTTATCAAAACACTCATTGTTAGTTATAAATTTTAGTTTAATAATAATAAAATTTGTCTCTAGAAATTTCCTAAAGATGATATAACAGATCGAACACTTCGTCGTATGCAACCATTTATTAATGATATGGAATTAGTTCCTGAAAAATTGAAAAGTGTATCAAGTGCTGCTAGTGCATTATGTACTTGGATACGTGCCATTGAATCTTATGCACGTGTTTATCGTATTGTACAACCAAAAAAAGAACGTTATCATAAAGCATTATTTGAATTAAATGAAAAACAAAATTTATTAGAACAATCAAAAAATGAATTATTAAATATTCAAAAAAAAATTGAAAAATTACGTTTAGATTATGAATTAAAAATCAAAGAAAAAGATATTCTACAACGAAATGCTGATGAAACAGCAATGTTTTTAGATCGAGCAACAAAATTATTAGATGGTGTTGCTGAAAAACGAACTCTATGGGATATGACATCAAATGAATTAAAAGAAAATCTTGATCATCTTCTAGGAAATAGTCTTCTTGCTTGTGCATTTTTATCATATATGGGTCCATTTTTGTCGAATTATCGAGATGAAATTATACATCAAGTAAATTTTAGACAAAAACAAAAATTTGATTTTCGTATTTATTTTTGTTTTACAAAATTTTCTATAATAGATTTGGGAAAAAGAATTAATGCGTAATGGAATTCATTTTAAAACTGATTTTAATTTCGCCAATTTTATGACAACACCAAGTATTATTCGTGAATGGAATATTCAAGGTTTACCACGTGATAATTTCTCAACAGAAAATGCTATTTTAGCAACACGTACTTTATCTTATCCATTATGTAAGCTTTTTATTGATTGAATAAAATTTTCAGATAACGAAAAATAATTGTTAAAAAATGTTCAACTTTCAAAGGATGATAGTAGATCAGTCTGTTAGCGATTTAATGTGGTAAACAGCTGAAACTCTTATTGCAGCAAGAGATATACAAGTTCTAGTTTAACTAAAATTTTTGTTTCATTTGAATGAACTGTGACAATTCTACAAGAATAGGAAGTCGTGGTAATGTATCCATCCGCAAGCATTCTTTTTCATTCAAGTTATTCGAAAATTTTCGCGTTACTGGAAATTTTCTCGCTCTGAACAAAATATTTCCATTTGTATTTGTAGATAAGACAACAGATCTCACGATAGTGAAATTTATTTATTTTTTTGAAAGCTTGTTCTTTGCAAAGAATTATCACTAAAAACATTATGGCAACGCACTTAGCGATCCTTTTTTTGATTCACTAAAAAAGTATGATTTTTACAGCTTTGCCAACAAAACAAGGTGATCGACGAATGTCAAACTGTAGCACAACCTTCGATGTTATCACTATTACGATATCATAATATTCGAAATGTGACAAAAGATAATTAGACCTTTTCTTTTCACAAAGTAACGCTTGAGTTTGTCTGATGACTACCATTTATTTTTGTTATTATTCAAAACAAATGACATTTATCGACGTAGGATATATAAAAACCTTTAAAAAAGCTGTTAGCGCAATCTGTGTGGAATTAAAATGTAAAACACGACGTAGCTGTTGTTGCAAATCATAGAGAGATTATTTTATTCCATCTATTTTGAGACACATTTCTTCACTATCATTTTACTTAATACTCTGGAAATACAGCAAGGAAGTCGTTCATATATTATAACGACATGTTATTGATATTAATACACAGTATGTAATGGAGGAGGAGGAGGAGCGTCTAAATTATTACCCGTACACTTCAACATTTCTTTTAGATCGTGTTTCACGGAAATTTCGAATGAATAAATTCGAGCATTTTATCTTAGAGTAATCTTCTCAACTTTGGCAAAACATGGTCCTTTTTAGTAATTTCATGTCGATGATGCAGTGCTGAGTTCAAGAAGATAATTTAAAGGAAAAAGATTTATCGATGAATTTTTTTAAGAATTCAAACTTAAAGATTATATACGTTCATTTATACAATCAATGTTTTATCCAATATGAGGACTGAAGGAACGATGTCCCTCGGAAGATTGAGCTAGCCTTGCGGAAGAGAAAATCTAGATAAAACACTGTATAGAATTCCAATTTTGTATTGTTTTACAGCCATACAACACTTTTATCATAGATGATATTTTATAGTTTGTTAAGATAGATATAGTATTTTCGATAATTCTTACTTTTTATTACTTGAAAAACAAATATACATATCCTCAAAATGATTCAGAAATTCATTTTTTTATTTGTTTTGTTCAGTTATCGATCCTCAAAGTCAGGCAACAAAATGGATAAAACAAATGGAAAAATCTAATGGATTAAAAATAATTGATTTACAAATTGGTGATTATATGAAAATAATTGAAGAATGTATTAAAATAGGTCGACCATGTTTATGTCAAAATATACATGAAGATATACCACAAACATTAAATCCAATATTAATAAAATCAATAAGAAAAAATCATGATATAAATTCTAATTTAATTCTTCAATTAGGTGATAGAGAAATTGAATATAATCCATCATTTCGTTTTTATTTATCAACACGTCTTTCTAATCCACGATATAAACCAGAAATATATTCAAAAATTAATATAATTAACTTTGCTATAAAAGAACAAGGTTTAGAAGAACAATTACTTGGTAAATAAAATCTTTTTTTTTTGATTAACTATTAATTTTCTAAAAAATTTTTGTGCGTTTTTTTTTAATTTCAAAAGGTATTGTTGTACGAAAAGAAAAACCTGATTTAGAAAATTCAAAAGATAATTGTATTGTTAATATATCAAATAAACATAAAGAAAAAGAAATTTTAGAAGAAGAATTTCTTCGTCTTTTATCTGAAACCGAAGGAAGTTTATTAGAAAATTTAAAAGTATTTCAAGCATTAGATTTATCTAAACAATCACAAAAAGATATTGATGAAACATTAAAAATAAATGAAGATTTAGAAATAAAAATTGATTTAACAAGAGAAAATTATCGATTAGTTGCACAACGAGCAGCTATTCTTTTTTTTGTTTTACAAGATTTAACATCAATTGATCCAATGTATCAATATTCACTTGATGCATATATTCAATTATTTATTTTATCTATTGAAAAAAGTCCAAGATCATTAAAATTAAATGAACGTATTGAAAAATTAAATGATTATCATACTTATGCTGTATATAAATATGGATGTCGAGTAAGCTGAACAAAAAAAAAATACAACGAAAATTTTCTTGTATTTGTTTGTTTGTTTAAAATTTTTTTTAGGGCCTTTTTGAACGTCATAAACTTCTTTTTTCATTTCATATATGTACTAAACTTATGGATGCTGAAAATCGAATAAATCATGAAGAATATCAATTTTTTATACGTGCTAATACATTAACAATTGATCGTGAAACTCAATTTTCTAATCCATTTCCAACATGGTTAAATGAAACACGATGGGATCAAATGAGTGAACTTATTCGTATACCTGATTATCGATTTTTACGTGATTCATTTGATCAATTTCCTAAAGATTGGAAAGAATGGTAAATAAATATTTTAATTCGTATTCAAAGAACAACGATGCCTGACACTTCAAATCGGTTTACTACAAGTTTTATTACTAATCAAATGAAATTGTATATGCGATGAAATCAGTAGAATAGGTCGATATTTTAACACTAAGTTTAATAATACACCATTGAGTTTAGCAAACTGAAGGTGATCCATAAATAGGCAGTTGTTGTCGCTAAGTTCAATAATCATTTCTTCAATCTTCTATCAGATTCATTCATTTAACTGTATTGTTTCGCCTACTACAACAACACACGGAGATGCTACATTCTTTAATACAGCTCTACATGTTGAGACATATTTCCTTTTAAAATGCCATCGACCATTCTTCTAGTATAGCTTATTTGCTAGGTATTTTCAAAAGCTACAAAATTTAATTATTTTCTAAACTTGAAAACCAACTACTCACTTAACAGACTTTTTGGAACATGTTTTTGTGCCTTTTTAGTTAATATTTAGAAGATTTTGCTCAGCAAAGTTGAATTCTAGTCAAAATTAATATGATATTTACACTCAGCACGAAAAATTGATTTGTTTTGTTTATAATTTAAACATTTCCTTGAACTTTGTTTTTTTACAAGAAAATTTACTCTTTGTCCCTTCACAAATTCCAGCTGAAAAATGAATTTCATCAAAAGCCATTTGGAGAATATAAAAGAACTTCGGAAGTTTTTTAAAGTTATCAGGTCATAAAATAGCAGATATTTAAAATAATAAAAGTACTGTTTATCGTTGAGTTTACTTTTTCGCTAGATACTGAGAGCCATCAGGACAAAAATTTCTAGTATAAAAAAAGTTCAAGACAATGTCTAAATTTTACATAAAATGAATTAGTTTTTTATGCTGACTCCGAATATCATACTAGTTTTCACTCAAGTTGAATTTTTTTCTGACTGAAATCTCTTACACATTAGCTAAAAAAAAAGCATAAAATCAAGTTTTGAAAACAATCCACTTGGTTGTCTGTAAAGTAGCTAGTTAGAAAAATATCAAGTTTTGCAGTTCTTAAAAATAGCTATCGAATGAGATGTACTAGAAAAATGTTCTATGTTATTTTAAGAGGTAAGACGTCATGAAAGACAGAATAATATTACTGAGTGTAATACCTGTATATCGGCTTGTCCGCGTAACGCGACACTTCGCTGATCAAGTTTTGAAAAAATGTTTTTTCGAGTTGGACAGATCTCATTGGACTATTAGATGCAGTTTTTTACGCTGATTACGAATTCGATATTGATTTAGCATAAAAATCAGATTTTGATATCAAAAATCGGATTTTAAAATTTTCAAAAACCGTATTTTGGATTTTTTAACCAAGAAATTTTTTCAACAAGGGCTAAGAGACATACCATTCAATGCAGAATTAAATTCTCTACAAAATGGTCTATTTAGTTTTGACTTTGGTAGCTTAGAATGGATCGAAAGCTTCGATAAGGTTTCCAACTTCCTGCCCAGTTTATAAGCTCTCAGATCGATGTATCAATCTCATTTTTTCAGAGGAGATTGTCTACTTATAAAACAGTAACAATTATAAAAATCAAGTAATTCCGAGTACACTAAGTGCCTCAAAATTGGTCAACAAAAAACTGTGTAACAGTGTTACGAAAAACGTAACAGCGTTACGTTTGTTTTTTGCATTTTTTATTTGAACAAAAATGTTTTAGAGAAAATCTTTTTTACTGCCTGAAAGTCTATTCAATGCTCTACAAAAGTGATTCTTGGAGCATTACATTTGAAGAAATGATTTCGCAAGAAATTAGAGTTTTCTCAGTGGCACTGGAAAAAAAGGGTCCTTTTATGTAACAGCGTTACGCCCTGATAAAACATTTCTAGATGCCTGAGACTTCAATCAAAAAAGGTCATTTTTATATGATAAATGAAGTTCGATAAGCTGCGTCGAATGACGTTTGAACGAACTTCCTAGCTCTTAAACTTTTCGAGAAAGTTGGAGAAGAGTATATCAAAAATGTAACAGCGTTACGTTTGGACAAGCCGACATACTGTTACAGCTAGCGAACAGCATCCTTGAATGAATGAATTTTATAGACGATTGAAATCTCAACAAAGATTTAACAAATCTCATGTTGTAACTTCGTTTGACTATTGTTTATTCTTTGTTTATATTCCTAAAAATCGGCATGCAATGACGATATTATCAATAGCAATAGGTACCATCTTGCGGGTGACCTTAATACTACTAAACTTGATAGTGAACCGACAAATTTACTACTAAAATGTCGAACTATATTTTTTTCCTTGTACAATTTTATTTGATTGAAAATAAAACTTGTTGAGAGTCGATTCGAGGTTTAATGTACATTCATTTTTATTTTTTTTTAATTTTAATTTTCTATGTAAGGTACACATCAGAAGAAGCTGAAAAGGCATCATTACCGAGTACTATTGATTCTTTAATAACAGAATTTGGTCGTATGCTTATTATTCGTTGTTTACGTCCTGATCGTATTACACATTGTGTATTAAATTTTGTTACACATAATATTGGATCAAAATTTGTTGAACCACCTATTCTTCAATTAAATACTATTCTTGAAGAATCTAATAAACGTTCACCATTAATTTTTCTTTTATCACCAGGTGTTGATCCAGCACCAAAATTACAACAATTAGCCGAAGATAAAATGATGGCAAAATCTCGATATTATACACTTTCATTAGGACAAGGACAAGCACCAAGAGCAAGAAAATTACTTGAAGCAGGCATGAAAAAAGTAGGAAGAAAAATATTGCGAACATGAAGAAATAAAAGTATATATTTAAAGGGTCATTGGGTATTTTTTGCAAATTGTCATTTATCAATTAGTTGGTTACCTGAATTAGATAAAATTGTTGAACAATTACAAACAGCTGCTGTTCATAGTGATTTTCGTTTGTGGTTAAGTTCTTCACCAACAATAGATTTTCCGATTTCTATTTTACAAATTGGTCTCAAAATTACCAATGAACCACAAAAGGTCAATTGGAAAATTTATACTGATGTGTATATATATATTTTTTTCTCTATTGTTCTTCAATAATTAGGGTATCAAAGCAAATATGAAACGTTTATATGAATTAATAACACCAGAACAATTTCAACGAGTAAAACAAGATGAAAAATATCGTAAACTTTTATTTACATTGACTTTTTTCCATTCAATTATAATTGAACGTAAAAAATTTTTACAACTCGGCTGGAATATACATTATACATTCAATGATTCAGATTTTCAAATTTCAGAAAATTTATTAGCTATTTATTTAGATATATATGACAAAACTCCATTTGATGCACTTAAATATCTTATTGCAATTGTTATATATGGTGGACATTGTACTGATGAATGGGATATGAGATTATTACATGTGAGGTTATTTTTTGGAAAAAAAACAGAAAAGAAATAACAAAAACGAAATATCTTTTTTTTTGAATAAGATCGAAAGCTAAAGATGCATCAATTCCTGAACTACCATTTCAAAGAGAAAGTTTTTTTTCTAGTATTAAGAATCCATTGTCCTATTAATTACTTCCTGCTCAGCTTGAATTGCTCTATCCGAAGTTATTATTAGATTCCATCGAATCTTAAAAAAAAGAGGTTCAGATTGGGTGAAAATTTATGAATTTTAAAACGAAATCCGATAAATTTTTTTAATATTGAAAAAAAAATCGAACAATAGCATTGGACAGAATATTCAAAGTTAATCATAGTTGATATGAACTATTGACATGAATCTATCGATTTTCAATACAATCTAACTTTACCAATGTCGTAGAACATAAACTTTTAATAATTAATTTTTTTTATTTCTTTGAAAGACTTATATTGATTCTTATATTCGTAATGAAGTTCTCGAAGTTATGTATTATAAATTATCTTCATTACCATATTATTATATGCCTCGTGATGGTACATTTAAATTATATAAAGATTTTATTAATTCGATGCCTACAACTGATCATCCTGAAGCTTTCGGACAACATCCTAATGCTGATATTGCATCACAAATTCAAGAATCAAAAACTTTGTTTGACACATTGTTAGCTGTCTTACCACAAAAATCATCAGCTACTGTAGAAAAAGAAGTCGAAAATGAGGTATAAATATAATTTTCTTTAGAAAAGATATTTATCGAAATCATTGCAAATTTTGGACAATATCAAACATAATAGTTTAACAGATTTATACTGCGAACAAAAAGGAGAGAATAATTTTGTTGTTAAATAGATTTCGAGTATAAATGAAAAAATTGAAGCTCGAACTAATGCGTGATCAGAAAGTTATTCAGACAAAATGTTCATTCATTTTTTGAGCTTCTTAAATGAGACTTCTGGTTTAGGATCTTTTACTGCATACATTATGTTACTGACTTTTTATATAGAATTAAAAGTAAGATTGTTCTCAACAATAAAATATAAGAACCAATAGTTTCAGAACAATCATCCAAGCATGGCTGAGCTTATTTTGCAAGTCTATTTTTCATAGAAATCGAGAAAATTGCCTAAACTGACACGGTACCTTTGATCAAAATACTCACTGTTGACAGATGACTTGGAGTACACTAATTATTAGTATACCATTTTATAGAGAAATGTTGTTCTTTCATTTGCTACATTTGAAATAATTTTCGCTTCTACTTTGAGTCATTTTTAGCGAGCTGAAATTCATCCGAACGTAACTTCCGAACCTCCAAAAATGTTGGCCCATAACTTCTAAATCAGAAGTCCAACAAAATTTTTGAACGCATATTCTGAAAGAACATAAAATTCTGATACTAACTGAATGTTTTCAAACTTCTGCAGATTCCTTTAATAGACTGAAAACTGAATGAGCATTGTGTCAAATTACTTTTCGATCATCCATTATTTATACATTCTATAATTTAGGTAGCTAAAGCAGCAAGTGAAATGCTCAAATTAATGCCACATCAAATTGATATTGAAGCAGTCAAGAAATATATGTTAATTGACACATCACCATTATCTGTTGTTCTTTTACAAGAAGTAAAATAGTTCGAAATAGTCATTAATTTCATCTATAAAGTTATCAATACTTTTATAGGCCGAACGATACAATGTACTTTTATTGAATATCACTATTGCATTAAATGATCTACTTAAGAGTATAGAAGGTTTAGTTGTTATGACAGTTGAACTTGATGAACTCTTCAAATGTATTTACGAAGGACGACTTCCATATGCTTGGCAACGAGTAAAAAAGATTTATTCAAATTAACAAAAATCTTTGTTTTGTTTTGTTTTGTTTTTCTTCAGACCTATCAATCATTAAAACCTCTTCCTACTTGGTTTCAAGATTTACGTCAACGTATAAATTTTTTCAATTCATGGATCGAAAGTCAACGACAACCTATCATCTATTGGATATCGGCATTTTCCTATCCAACTGCTTTCCTCACTGCTGTACTTCAAAGAACAGCACGAAAAGATCAGGTTTATGTGTTATATTTTCCTTTTAGAAATAATTTTTAATATTTTATACTTTCGTTATCATATAGATTGGTGTTGATCAACTTTCCTGGGAATTTGAAGTTAATAAAACAGATGATAAATATCTTGCGGATATAGATGATGGTGTCTATGTAACTGGATTATATTTAGAAGGAGCTGGTTGGGATCGAAAACAAGGAACATTATGTGAAGCAAAATCTATGGAACTTGTAACATTAATGCCAACAATACATTTTCGACCTGTTGAACACAAGAAAAAGATGACTAGAGGTTAAAATTTTCTATTTTATTGTATTTTCAAAAGATATAATCGAATTATCAATTGATGATTACAGGTCTTTATATTGCTCCATGTTATTATTCATCTATTCGAGTTGGATCGTTTATTGTTGCAGTTGAACTTAAAACAGGTTCTATGCCAGCAGAACATTGGATCAAACGGGCAACTGCTTTACTAATGAATCTTGACAATTAATTAACTTATATATTTGTCAATAATTTACAATTATAAAATAAAATAAAAAGCAAATACATTACTAAAGAGATTTTACGATTCGTCAATTTTCAATCAAATAATGTATAGAAAAAGACAATATGTTGCAATTAACATAGCCCTATCGGTTGTTATGCACATTAAATAATAAGTTATCTTTTGAAAATTCATAAATGAATTGAAAATCTTTACAAAAATGAAAATAAGTTTTAAAAACTGAAATATATATTTTATTTCAGACGTACAATATGTTAAATCTTTAGTCAAAAACAAAAAAAGAAAAATTTTAAATCATGAAATAATTCATTTCATCAAATTCAAAATTAAGCAAACAATATTTCAATTAAAGATATATCAAATCAAACACATATTAAAAAGAGAACTTTCATAAAAAACATATACTGAAAGAGAATAGATGAAAGTTTATATCAAGTTTTGTTTTTCTTCTTCTATTATACACCAAGTCATTGTCTTTTGCATATATGATTTATTCTTGACGATGGAAAGTAAGAGATGCCGGAGAAAATATATGAATATTAGGATTGGCTGCTACTGCTGCTTTTGCTTCGCTTAATAGAGCTGAACCAAATGGACCGATAGCACTAGTCATATCTCCTGGTGGTCGATACGCAGCAGCAGCAGCAGCAGCAAGTAAATGTGGTTGTCGTTGAATCCAACGTTGTAATGTGGCGCCAGCAAATAATTCAAGTCCAAGACATGCTTGTCGTTTCCATTTAGTTCTAAGAATTTAAAATCAATAATTAAAAAAACAAAACATTAGAATTGAAATGAACAGATAAAGATTTACCTTCGATTTTGATACCATGTTTTTACCTGTGTATCAGAAAGACGAAGACGATTTGCAAGTTCTAATCGTTCTTGTACACTTAAATATTTTTGTCGTTCAAAATTTTTCTCCAATGTATTTAATTGAGCATCGGTAAAGGCTGTGCGTGGTTTGCGTTGTTTTTTATTTTTTCGTAAATTAATTGCTGCCAAACATGAACTTGATGCACATAAATCATCATCTAAATATAATGATCAACAATAATAATATAACTCAAGTATAATAATCATTGAAATCGATCATATTTTCAAAGGAATATTATTCAATAAAAATCAAATATAAATTGATAAATCTGTTTTCTTGTTCTTCTACAAATTATGGACAGAAAATTAATTTTCATTTTTATTATGTTCTAACGAATAATCAAGAATTCAAATTTGATATTTTTATGTATATCTAATATTTTTCCATCTCAGTCAATGAAAATATCTGCTTAGCATTCTCAATCAATAGAAAAATTAGTGAGATTCAATAGTAGCAAATAAATGTCGAAAAATAAAATTAGTAATGGAGCTAGGATTTTGGGGTGGAGGACCAGTCCTTCTGACTCTGTCGTCACTGAAAACAATGGCAAAATTATCAATATTTACTGGTTTTTCAATTTCTGTCAATGTTCATAATAAACTCGATAAAAATATTTTATATGAATACAACGGAGACGTATCTCAATGAAGGAGACCCCAAGTTGTTGAGTCTCAGAAAAAGAAACCCTATGTGAAGTTTTTAAAAACAGGGCGGCCGATATATGAACGAATTTCAGAAGCAGGAAGCGTCACGTCCCACGTGCTCACTATAAGCTACGTTCCTATGTGAATATTTATTCTACAAGGAATTTCTTCGTTGATAGAAAATAGATTATATATTTAGATTTTACGTTTATGGAAATCGGCAATGTATAGGATAAAGAATTAGATTTGGAAAGATTTTTACAACTTTTTAGATCTCAATAATGATCGTTTAATCTTCGTTTAAATCAAGTTCATTTATCAAATATATATGTCTCAACTTACCACTATAACGATTGACGCTATTACTATCATCACCAGATGATGACTCTTCACCAGTGCCACCATCTCCTGATGCATTGAGTATTTGTGAATCTTTTGATTCACCATTGTCATCGTCATCATCATCATCATTATCCTTTCTTTCATTGTTATATGATCGAAATTTTTTATTTGATATATCATCTTCGATACTATCGTTTTCTTCTTTATTATTATCTTCAGATATGATTGATCGTTTACGTTTACGATCGTTAATTTGATTGGAATAATTTGTATTTTTATTTACTGGCATTACCATATGTAAGATATCATCGACAAAAAACGAACGACGTTGTTTTACCATTGTCATTTTCTTTTTCTTATCGAAAGTGAGTCCAGTCAATCAAAAAGAATAATTTTGAGAATAGTGAATGCAATACAACGATTTCTTTGTCTCACTCTCTCACTTCTACTGTTGTTCTCTTTTCTTTTCTTTTTTTTTTTTCTTTTTGTATTTTATAGTGTGACAAGTGGGATTTCTTTCATTTGCAGCGACATATAGAGAATGACAAAGAAAAGAGAGCAGATAATTGACATTTTACACACATTCTCTCTCGCATTTTTTTCCTTCAACAAATGCGTATATTCACTTGATTGGTGTAAAAAAAAAGAATAGAAATAGCCGAAAACGATTGGCAGTTTAAATTTAATATATAGAAAGAAGAAAAAAAACGGATCAATTTGAATATGAAAAATAAAATTAAAAAAAATTTCTTTGAAAAATTCTATATCCAATTTCCGGCTTTATTTTTACATTTGATCGTGTAACAAAAAAAATATGTATATGTCTATATCATTATAAATAAAGATTGATCGATCAGTTAATCAATAGAGTTGTTCTTCTTTGCACACTCTTTTCTTTTTTATTCTCTTCATTACATATGTTTATGATATGCAAATCAGAAGAATCAACGTTGTATCTTTCTTTCTTTCTTTCTTTTTTCTTTCTGTTCAAATGAAAATAATTTTCTCATCATTATTATCATCGCCATCATCATCATGTTCTTTGCGTATTGTTAATACGAATCGGATTGACACTTTGAAGGTGGTAGTTATTCGATTAATAATAATCGATCGATAGACTTGCTCGTGCTTGTACAACTGTTCAATGGATGATGACGATCATGAGATAGATATACATGAGGTTTCTTTTTCTCTTTGATTATATTGATTACATTAATAAAAAGATTGACATTCATTAAGCAGGTGAATTCAATCAAGGACATAAGTCACCTGTATGTTTTGTTCTTTTTAATGTTTATTGATTGCTAATATTCGTAGTTAATGTCACACATTGATTGTTATCGTTTTGTTCATTGTGCGGTCGAATGAACGAACATAAGGTGTCATTTTATGTATCACTTTTCTCTTTTTTTTTTTGTTTTTTTTCTTTCAATCCAACTAACAAACAAATTAAGCCGCATACAAAGAAAGCCTTGGGCTTGATTGAATTGAATAAAGAGGATAGAAGTGTTATAAATATAAGATCAAATATATATATATATACTATCAAATGTGTGACAACTATATTAGGTAATATAGATCGAAAGAGCGTGAAAACAAAAGTAGTAAAATACGAAAACAAGATTAACTGTAAAAATTTTATTAATCGCAACAGAAAAAGTTCTGTTTTTATGATAATTAAAATCGATGTGTCTTTTCTTTAGCTTTCTGAATGTATCCACTTGAATGACAAATAAATTTTTCTATTTATTTTTAATTCGATTCATTTCTAACAATGTTTATTTCTCTCTTTCGTTTCTATACGAATGAAGACAGACAAAATCTGTTTTTTCTAAAAGTGTCGTTTCTTCTATGGCGTGATTGACAATGAGAAATTATAAAGCAATTTTTAGAATTTCTTTTTTTGTCCTTTTTTTTTTTTAATTATCAAATTCAATGATCCATGAGTTGCAAAACAATGATGTCCATTGCACTTATTTTTTTCTCTCGTTTCAATAGAAACAATCAAACATGTTGGACATTCATTGAAATAAAGCTGATTTATATATATTTAAAAAAAATGCAGATAGAACAGACAGCCAAATTCCTGTTTGATAATATCAAACGGTTTAATCATAACAGGAAATGAGCCACATCAAGTAGCTCGTACTATCTTGAACTCGTTTACATAGATTCAATCGATCATCGTTATCGAATTAAAAAATCGTGTCATTACTACAATGTGCTTATTACAAAGGCAACGAACATCGGAAGTAGTCTATCATGAGACTCAACACTAAGATATAAATGCGAACAATCATCGCACCTGTCATTGTCTCTCTCTCTCTCCTTTTCTCGTTGTTTCCCCCAAAGACTCGTTCCGATTCAATTTGTTTCACCTGAATAGACGAAATAGACAAAGGAATAGACAGACAGATAGCGTGCCATCTCAAAATTGATCATCATTGATGGTGATGAACGTGTGCATGTGCATATTGACTACACACCAAAGAGAAAACAAAACTGTGTTGCTTTAAAAAGATTAGCTACTTATATACTATGCGCAACAGATCCATTACAAATGATCGGGTCGCGTGTGCTTGTTATCATAAATTTTGCTCTTTTTCTTTATGTTGTTCCCTCATCTTTTTTTTTGTGTGAGCATCATTGTCGCCTCCAGGGTTTTTATCTATCCGTTTGAAGTCAACCAATACTAGCAGATGGGCAGGCGGTGACACATATACAGCAACTAACTTGTTGCTGTTGCTCTAATAGTTCAAGCATAGGCTAATTTGACAGTAATTAACACACACACACAATCATATATATATATATATATGTAGAAAAAAGGATTAATTTAAAATTGAATCCATCTATGTATTTTTGTTAGTATTTTTCTTTCACAAACAAAGAAAAAAAACCAACAAGATTTATAATGAGACGATGATCGAATTGACGAATATATTAAAAAAAAATCTAAGAAGAGAAACCATATGTATGAGAAATGAATCGACTATACTACTTGAAAAGATGATTAAATGGACGATGATGATGAAAAGAAAAAAGATCTATCACCTATTTTTTTAACTAAAAAAATAAAATTACATATAAAAAATTTTGAGTTTTCTTTTTCTTTTTTTTTTGTCTTATATTAGAATGTCTAATTTGTAAGATTCTAATCGGCACGGTTCAGCAAATCCATCCACTCGCATCATCATTTTCTTCACTTGAAATCTCCTGCCAATCCGTTCGCCTCTTTGTCTCACTCGAGATGACTCTAATCTTAATCAGTTTATTTTTATATATGTATGTTTCTCTTTCCGCATCGTCTTTCTTTTTTAGTTATTATTATTCTTCTTCTTCTTCTTGAATAACTACTACTAGTAGTTTCTATCTAATAGAGTCAATTGAACAACAACGACGACGACGAAACATCAATCTTGGTGCGTGCAAAAAAGAAAAGAAAATCGAACACATTTGTAAAGAAAAAGAGAGTTGATGATGAAATGAGCAAAACAGAGAGCATATTTGATCGATGTTAAAGAAAACAATTTGCGATCGAAAGAAACTCTCAAGAGAGATGATCGGCAATGAGAAAAAAGAGAGAAAAAGACAAGGTAGCGAGTCATTCACTTTTTTCCCCTTTTTTGCCGCTTTCAACCAATAGGCAAAGAGATTATAGAGAAAGAAAGAAAGAGAGAGAGAGAGAGAGAGAGAGAAAGAAAGGGAGCACAGTATACATTTAAATTTTTCCAATTACATTTCTTGTCACGCCCGATTACAGAAACTCGAATGGCTTCAACAACCAGTTTCTTTTTCTTGCCGCCTAACATGATTCGACCACCAACAATGTCGACAACATTGAAAGCTAAACGACGATGTCGTACTTCATTTTTTATTACCGATATACTCGGTAATCGTGGTCGTTCACCATCTCCAACATCTGCTCATAATAATAATGATAATAATAATAATAACGAAAATCATCTTATATCAAGTATGAACAAAGATGGTGAAAGTGGTGATGATGATGATACAATGTTGCATGACAGTGATGACAATGGTAAGAGAGAAAAAATTTTTTTTTTTCTTAAATTACTATTACATGATTCAATCGATTTGTCTAAAAAAGTCGAACAATCAAATATCATGATATTGTTCGATGTAGGAAGAAGATGAATGATTACTAAATGTGGAAAATGTGCTAACTGATCTTCTAATTGTTATTCTAGTTCTTTTCGTGCTTAATATCTCGTTCTTCGTCTTAGTGATAATAAATAATATATTAAATCAAATATGTTAGCAAGATCATTTTTATATCTTTAGAAACTATATAAGAATCTTGTTCTTAAACAAAACATCAAATATATATATATATGAGACATTTTTACCCAATAGTCATTTTTAACCAATCAGTAAATGGCGTAGAATTTTATATTATTCTTATTAAATAAAACAATTTGTTTTTGATTAGATTCAGACATTGGTGAAGAAACTAGTACATCAGATAGTGGTGGTGGTCATGTTATGAATAATAGTACATTAAAAACAAATAAGAAGCCACGCAAAGCACGTACAGCATTTACAGATCAACAATTAAATTGTTTAGAAAAAAGTTTTGAACGACAAAAATATCTTAGTGTACAAGATCGTATGGAACTTGCTGCTCGTCTCAGTTTATCTGATACACAAGTAAAAACATGGTATCAAAATCGAAGGTTAGTTATCATAATTTTAAAAAAAAAATTTAAATTCAAATTTTGATTATTTTTAGAACTAAATGGAAACGACAAGCTGCTGTAAGTTTAGAATTTCTTGAACAACAAGGTAATATTGCTGCTGTTCATCGATTACTTCAACATCATCATGCTGCTACCGGTGTTGGTAATCTACATCATTCTTTATGGTATTCACCTTATTTAACACCAACTGCTGCTGATGCTCTATTTGCTCTTCAACAACGATCATCAATTGATCCAAATAAATCATCATCTGAATCATCATCATCAACAATTACTAGCCCGAACAAATCTGTATAAATTCTTTCTTTTTCTTTTTTTGATTTTTCTTTTTTTGCTTGTCTTTTTATTCTTCTATTCTCATATACGCTCATATATATAAATATACAATACAGTCAATTGAAAGAAATGCAAATAAGTGTGATGATTGTTTTGTTTCAATCGATGCTGGCCGACGAAGAGAAGTCTTAGGAAGTCAACAGCTTTTCTCTTTTTTTTTCTTGTGTTTAATTGTAAGAAAATACGACAGAGAGAGAGAGTGAAGCGATTGATAATTCAATTTCATTTATTCAACAAATGCACACCTGTAAAGAGTAATACAATATGATGATTTTGTTTAATC